CCGTAACAAGAATGAATGGTCGGCAGTCAAGCGCATTTACGCAACATTCACGCTCATTGAGGGACTTACCGGCCGCTGCCAACTCTGATGAAAATCGATCAGTTATAATAAGAAAGCTTTACTTTACTCTCAAAATTTTAGTAATTTTTGGTGCCTCGTATCCAGGATACTTATAGTGTTGGCTTACTGTTTGGACCTGAATGTGAATTATTATTATAAGAATACGAGAAAACAGTGCATAATTGGGTGGGAAGGGTCGGAAATAATTTGATCTTCAAATTTGTTCATGTAAATTGATATTTGGCAAACAAATAAGAAGTTTTAGCATTTATGACCGGCAGAGACATGGGAGATTTATGATCTGTGATAAGATTTCAATTTAAAAAGACAAAAAAATCCTTAAGCTAAATTTATTCGTATTTTTTATAATACATTTAATTTATCTAAATATTACATCAATTTCAGTATGCAATATCTAGTTTAAAATGTGACTAGAACAATAATTTTAGACAATTCTGAAATTCGCAGTACTAAATTCGCAGCATTTTAAACATACTGTTTATAAATTACAAAAAAATTTCGTAACAATGACCAGTTCCTACATCACTCAGTCAAATTAATTTACTGAGATCCCTCGACTTCAATGCGGTTTAACTCGGTGATGAGGACTCTGAAATGTCATCTTTGATTCCAAGACAATTCGGCCTGAAGAACAACGGTCCACGAGCTCAGTGTCAGACTCATACAAAGAGGCCATCTGACTGTGTGTGCCTCAGGCAGACTGTAGGATACTGGGGTGGGGGAGTGGGAGGACGAGGGATGGGGTGAAGGATTAGGAGGAGGGAGAGAAGAAGGGAGGAGGATGGAAGAGATGAATGGAGAGAAGTGAGGGAAGGGGCCGAGGGGAGGCAGCAAAAAGACGTGGGAGGGGATGGCTGAGGTTGGGAAGTGGGGAAGGGAGGGGATTGAAGAAGATGAAGAGTATGTGAGGGGCTGAGGGGGAGGCGAGTTATCGAGTTGAAGTGGGGAATTTAAAGACTGTCCAAAGAAAGCCCCCCGGGCAGGGGTGGAGGGTTGACCTCTTCACTGCAACCTTGGCTCCGCCAAAACAGTTACTGGGGAGTTCTCGGGCGAGTTCACTACATAATCTTAAACATAATAATCTCAGTTTTTAGACTTTAATACATAGTTTAATCTTCTTCAAAAGAATAAATTCTATATTTGAAGGTTATTTTGAACATGGAAAAGTAAACTCTCGTTTATGATTAAGTACAGAGCTCGAAAAAAAAAATGTTCTCTGAAGGTTATATACTATATGCGAAGGTTATATTCCCTAATCTTCTTTGTGAGGTTATCGGGGTCTTAACTTAGTAATATTCGAGCGATCAAAGGCTTTGGGTCTATTAATGAACCGACATAAAATTCTCGAAAATTATGAACACAAATAAATTCATCGAATCATTTATATTCAAGTACGGTAAAAAAATATTCAGGACTGACTGGGACTGATCGTTAGATAGGAACAAGGCGCAGGCCCTACAGACCTCACTGAGGCTTTTACCTCATCGCGAGTCGCATGAAATATAAATAATTTCTGGTCTCACACTTGTTATCGGATCTTGTAGGGTGCGACCTTTTGTAGTAACATTAATTTAAATAAACCCATGTATGAAAACTTGTTATCTTTCCTTATAATTATGAGATGATTAACTTGAAGCTATAGTGCTTGCGATCATTTCGAAAAGGTTCAAAGGTACGCGTACCTTTCCAGTGTACATTGAGTACACTGGTGCAGGACATAGAGCGTTCGGAGGATAAAAAACAACAATTAAACTTTCACCTTTTCACTCTACACTGAATACAATGATTCAGTTAACTGAGCATTCGATCGATCAGGAGACACAATCGAGTAGTTAAAATCAAATGAATATATATCGTGAGGTATCTCAACATAAATTACCGTAAGAAGCAAGAAGAATTCATTCGAATGAATGTAAATAAATTGAATATAGCCGGTGAATAAAAAGTAGTATAAAATACCTTTTAATGCGCTTAATAAGATTCAGAAGTAAGTTATTTGCGCCGATAATTGGTAACAAAAGATAGGAAGAAAATAAGCACACATTATCGCAGAGTCTGTCGATGCAAACTTCGTAAGAACTGAAACGCACTAACGCAACCTCAGCGCGAAAAATAAATAATACCTATGAGCAAACAAAACGAAGTGTGGAGGTTAAATGGCCCTAAGTAAATGAAGTAAGATAAGTAAATTAAGTGAATAAATCAAATAATGTACTACCTCAATTACACAGTTTATACACAGGCGAAGCCCCCGCAAACAAGTCTCGGACAAGGTTGCCAGATGAGCAGCTTTGCGGCCAAATTCGATGATACGGGTCTATTCTAATTGCGCTTGGCCGGCAAAAATTTACAAAGCAAATTAAAATTTACTGATAAGTATTGAATTAAAGGCTTTTTTGAACCCTATGGTGATATGATTTGATCGTTTTCCCTAGCAACCTTCTGACAACCCTCGTCTCGGTGAAGAAGCAAACAGATCCAGTTTCCGATTCGACCATGAACGGCGGGCGCGGCGTCTCGCGGCGCCGTCCAGTCTCCCCCAAACTGCCGTCCAGGCATCCTTCTGTTCCCGGTTTTTCCAGTGCCGGCTCTATGACTTTAAACTTCAACTTTCGTGATCGAAGCCCTGCATGAGGCGCTATGCCAACAGTCTCCCTCCGCCATCAGAAGAAAAAAGATGCGACTAACACAATCGTAGCTCAACCAATTTTACGACATTGCCAGATCTTGGCTCTGATATCCAAATGGTTTTTGTGCCTATGTTAACGAACTCCCTCAAATGAAGTTTAAAAGTTCGCAGGTTAGTTTACCTGAGAATAGTTCTCTTGCCTTGAACATATTTGTTAGCCATTTAATAGATTTTTTAACCACTGGGCAGGGTGGCCCAGTGGTTAAAGTTCTGAGTACCAGAATTGGTGCAGAGAGGTGCGGATTCGATCCCAGCTCTGCGCGCCAGTTTCTGGTCAGAATCGGCAAGGAGGCCGGGCGGTTAAGGAGAGCAGAATTTGCAGCAGTGAGTTGTGAGTTTGAGACCGCAACAAGCTGTGAATGTTCTGCGATGTTATGAATCGGCGACAGGACTACGGCCTAATAAACGCTGAAACCGCTATTATTATTATTATTATTTTTATTATTATTATTATTATTCTTATTATTAACCATGAAGCTTTCTGTAATTTGATTTCAACCGTATTTGCTTTCCATAAATGAACAAACCAAGCTTTGCACCCGAATTCACGCGGTTTTTGCATAAGAAAAATAAAGTGCATTATTGTTTTCTGTTTGAAAAGACAGATATAGACTTATGTTTTAAATCTTTGGCAAAAAGTTTTTAATCTCAATAATTCAGGTACCATTCACGGCATGTTTTAGGCTTTTAGTCAACGTGTGAAAAATGTCGCTTCGGCGTTGATTACTTGTTGGTGCTTGAAAAAAAATTGACACGCCGAAACCTTATATTTTGTATGTTTGTTGCAGAATCTGTTTCGTTTTCCGTACAACAGTTCTCTGCAATTTTGTCTGACGAAGATGAAAAATGGAGCAAGGATGATCGACTGAGTGTGTGAAAAACAAACATTTCTTTCTTGTAATTTAAGACTAGAGTGTGTTGCCTTCTTAATGAAAGGGTCTTTGAAATGAATTGCAACATTGAATAATTTACTATCCGTTGCATATTTTGCGAGCAGCAAATTTAAAATAAAAGAGTGTTCTAAACGTGTTTTTTCTTATTTCTTTTGCATTCAACCGCAAACATTCCATCTAATATGAATATTTATTTGATAAATCTCGGGACCACACATTTTTTTTGTTAACAAAGTGAGTCGTACATCATTTTCAATTCATTAAGCCATTGAATTCATTCATGAATGTCTGCGGCGCGCGAAATCCGTAAAGAGGAGAACATCCGTCGTTTAAATGAAATATTAATGAACTGCTTAGTAGATTGAAAGGCATTTGATACAAGCGAGTATCTTGCACTTTCATCGAGGAGATTATTTGTAGAATTCATTCAGGAGCTCATAACAAATGTTTTAGAAAAACTCCAGTACTGCACATGGTCACTACTGACAATAATTTACGAGTTGTGTTCGCCATTAATCAGACTTTGGATACGTCACTGCGATGCGTGTTGCGAGACTGGCAAGCCACGTCGCCATAGACGCTGTCTCCTCTGAGATTAGCGCTCTAAAAAAAGATGACCGCACAGAGATTAAAATACGCTCATGTTGATGACAGGAAGTTGTCGTTTGGAGGAAAAAATGTGAATTAAATGCGGTAGTTAAGTAATTAAATGCGGCAGTACGGTTGAAATATATAATTATTTTTTGTTTAAGATACGTTCGTTTTCGTTTCAATGAAAATTAATTTTCTAGAAGATATTTAGAATCCATTCCTATACATGACAAACTCTGCTCATTTATAAAATTTGGAAAATAGGAGTAAATTAAAAAAGGCCAGAAAAAATTAGATGGCGAATATTTCAAATATTATGTTATCGTTTCCATGCTGTTGAAACATAGATCAAAATTTTTGGAATTTCTTATTACCAAGAACGGATTCACACTAGTGTCAATCAATAAATTTTATTGATAATTCCGAGAAAATTATCTAAAATCTAATATGAAAATACTCTAATATAATTTTGTATTAGGGCAAACGTATTTTCTGAAATGTTCAAGCTAGCTCACATAAAATTTAACTATAGGGCCACAAAAAAGTTCAAAATTTCCTCCATTTTCATCAAAAGAATAATAAACTTAGCAACAACTGTATGATATATGTTTTATATAATAATCTCTCGTGATAATAATAAACAATATATACAAAACTATGTAAATCGCAAATAACCACGATTATTTATAAAGAATATGAACATGAATATAAACAGTATAAAAACATGACTAAAAAACTTTTCGCACCTGATTCTCAGAATTGAGCAGTTTGAGCTGGTCGTTTATGAGGGAATACTTGGCACTTTCCTCCTTCCTGAGCGCCCGCTCCTTCTTCAGTTCCGGCGACCAAAAAGTTTTAATCGAGTGCATGGAAGAGCCAAGTTTTTGATTAGTCAATTCTAATTCTTTCTTCAAGTTTGAGAGTTCTTTGTTCAGGTCCGTATTGTGCAGTTGTAACTCCATTAGGTAATTGTCTCTACCCATAGGGGGGCCACCGAGCCCCGTATGGCTGGGGGAAACTCTAGTGCGACCCCCATGATATATGTCATCTTCTAGCATGGCAGAGCGATCTAGAGACCTGTCTCTGCGACCCATGGGATCTAGACCTCGATCAAGACCTCTGTCTAGACCTCGGTCCATGCCACGATCCAATACTCGATCCATCGACCTGTCTCTTGGATCACGGATTGGAAGAAATTCCCGATCATGAGCTTCTCGATCGAGCGAATGATAATTTCGCCCCAGACTCCGACTTTGGCTTCGACTTCGGTCAGGGCGATGGTGCACCCCAGGGGCGGACCCACTGCGGGCTTCCATGGCAACTGTATGAGGATCCATGTAGCTAGGAGGTAAAGTGTGATCTATTGGAGAAGGTATGCGAGTGCTAGCTGAGCGTGAACGCCGAGATATTGGACTAACAGGTCGCGGTCCGTCGTTATAGTAAGAAGGGTCGGCGCTTAGGTCTCTACGTGACGGACGGGGTGACTTACTACTCGGCCCTCCACCACCAACACCCACGCCGCCATACATGTCTCGGGACATTCGAACATATCGTTACCACTTCCACAGTATCACACTTATGGTAAAAACCACATCTCGACCGTTCAAATAGAAATGATTCGACAACCCACTGCACTTGTGAGCAGCGTCATGCACACTGCCACTGCTACGCACGCCCAATCGAGACTGTGGTGGCGATCAATGCTTCTCTCTCTTCCCTCGAGCGCAGTGAGTACCAAGTGTCGCAAGAACCTACAACAGCCCTCGTTTGAAGGACATTCAGGCAGGACTGTAGTGAATTTCATAATTGCATAGTCAATGAATCTATATTTACACCTTTGAACTGATATTAATGACAGTTATATGATCAGCTGACTTACTTAAATTCATAACTTTCTCCTTTTCATATAAATTCATATAATCGCGACTTTTTTCGTAAACAATACTCTTACGCTGGGCAAGCAAAGCTTCAAACACTGTTAATATATAATAACAGGCAACATTTTGAGCGAAAAGTCTGAGCGTTGGCGGCTTTCGCACAAGCAGCCTATGGAAAATTCAACCTGTAATAGATTCCTAAATAAATCTTGGCGGTTTATACGAGGTTCGGAAAATACTTCCAATTATTCAGCTCCCAGCATTTATCTTACAAGACTCATAAGACATTTCTGCGGACTGTATTGCGGCCAATTTTCCTATTCGTAGTCACCAAAGAATATCATACAAACGATAGACAAATTTTCACTGAAACTTAGCACTTGAATGCATGACGTCATTCCACTCGCGACCAAGCCGTATGATTTTCCAGGCCGAATAAGCAACAAAATGACGAAAAATTTTGTCATATATATAAATTGACCCAAAACTTGGAAATTGCCATGGATTTAATTGTCATAGACTCAGCAGTCAGAATCAGCGTCACTAGTTTATTTTTTTAATGAATACCATAGTTTTATAAAAAGTACAGTTACAAGGTGATCTTGGCAGGCTGGTTGACTGGGCTGATAAGTGGCAGCTGCGTTTTAACGTTGACAAATGTAAAGTAATCCACCTCGGCAAGAATAATGAACAGCAAGATTACAGTATGAGAAGACACGGTTGCAACGACAGAGTGATGATGTCGAAGTCGACAATGGAAAAAGATTTAGGAGTTAATATCGACAATGAGTTGAAATTTTCTAAGCATATTGAAGGTCAAGTTAATAACGCCAATAAACGACTTGGACTGATCAGGCGCTCTTTCGAGTTCCTAGATGCAGAAGCGATGAAGCAGTTGTTTGTTGCTGTCGTGCGCCCGAACCTAGAGTTTGGAAACGTCGTGTGGTCACCGAAATTTGAAAAGGACAAAAATTTAATAGAGAGTGTTCAAAGACGTGCAACAAGGATAATTCCGGGCTTGAAAAGCAAGTCCTATGAGGAAAGATTAAAGATTATGAAGCTTCCAAGCCTCAGTTATCGACGGCTGCGTGGGGAACTCATTGAAGCATACAAGTATGCTCATGGCTTATACAAGGTCCCAGAAGGATTACTAGAATTTGAAACAAAAACCAACACCAAGGGCCACGGCTATAAACTAAAAAAAACTACGTTGTAACACATCCATGCGACAACATTTCTTCTCGCTTCGAGTCACCGACATGTGGAACAGACTCCCTGATAGCATCGTTGACGCTCCGAGTATGAACGCCTTCAGGGACAGACTAGACGAAGCTATGCAGGAGCATATGTTCAGTCTTAAAATGCCTAGCAAATTACGAATCAGGCAATAAGTCCAGCAGCCATCTCAATCAATCGTCAGTTATGGAAAGATCAGGTTCCAAAGGCCGGATCTCTTGTGAATCAAGTCACGAAAAATTCAAGAATCGGCAACAGGCCATGGGCCTATTTCTTCAGTGCCGATGCTTCTATTCCATTCTATTCTATTCTATAACCATTTATTACCATTTTACTTAGTTATTGACCGAATGCAAAACCAACCGAGGAAGTGTCCTTGCTTTGGTTAGTATGCACTCTCGCGAATGAAGCCGAAATTGAGTGAATCACGAGCGCAGTATTTACATAAATTTATAGATCGGTCGAAAAATTGTTTGAAAAAAGGAATTTTCAGTTCAATTGTAATATCGGCAGGTCCTATTGAAGGATGCTAATGTAAAAACTGTGAGGATCACATGTTTTATCTGTACATCCTATTTGCTTGTTGTAATTTGCGACGTTGTAAGTCAGAGAAATTCATCAACTTGTAATACGGAAATCTTGTGATCCTGCGACTAAAATTCCGAGTTCCGACAATCTTCAGCAGCGTCCTCCAGCGTTGCCAGATGGTATATTTCTATACCAGATTTCACAAATCTGGTATTTTCAGGAGGTGTCTGGTATGAACATTCTAGATCTGGTATATTTGCCTTAATCTGGTATTTTTCTGGTATTTTCAGACTTACTGCATTAAGTTTCACCTCTGACGTTTGAATTTCCTCCAACGTAGGCGTAAATTATATAGATAACCATCAGAGTGGCGCGACTAAAAATTTCCCACCATTTTTGGAGCCGCAAGTTTACCGCTTGATAAAATAACCCCAATTTAATTGTTAACATTTAACAAAAGTGCTTAGTGCATATGAGCATGAGAGTGATGATCCTCGATTGATTACTGATCAGTGATGAACTGATGATATGGCCTAGGACGAGTGAGGTGTACGAAAATAAGCAAAATGAAGATGACCTGTTTCCGTGGCTTGCTCATGTTGAGCGAAGAGGAAAAAGTGCCACAATGACACTGATAAAAAAAGGAAAAAGTGTCAATGTAATCAAACACAGGAAAAGAAAAGTGTCAAAATGTTCCAAACAGAGGGAAAAAAATATAACGTATTCAATTTGGCTAATTATCGTCAAGCGAGATAACTGCACAGTACATAAGATAATTTTTTTTCTAACCAATGTTTCTGACGAATAGTTTTATTAAATTTGGGGGTATTAGTCTGTTTTTGAACGATAGAATTTCTGGTATATTTATGGTATTTTGAGCTAGGCAATCTGGTATTCTCGCCAAGAAAAAACCTGGCAACACTGGCGTCCTCCAGGCCCAACCATGGCAACGGTCATTCATCTGGCAGACCTGTGACTTTCAGCGCCGGCGTCCGCATAGAAGATTCAGTAGCGGCTGCTGCTTGGCAGTGCCAGTAGACATCGCTAAAAAATAATCGTAACCAATTTTTCTGCCTTCAACAATGGGAGTTACTGTGTGAGAAATATTATTTTGATTTTTTGCTTTCTACTTTGTACTAGAAATTATGAGCGGACTAGACAACTTACAAACTTGGGAGTTGCCGAGGCCTGAGTTGGGACAAGTAGCCCTATCATGGATTTAGTGGCCTAGTTAAAAGTTTGGAGAATGTCAATTATCTGAGTCATCATTAAATTTTTAGAGCTATGAAAGAAGCTATGATTACTTTTTTGAGCAATGAATGGATATTACATATTAGTTTATTTCAGGCAATGAACTTTGAAGCCACCAAATTCAAGCCTTAGAAAACAAGTTTCGAGTGGCAAAACATGCAAACTTTTGAACTAACAAGCTGCCTACACATTTTCTATGAAATCTCCTAATTTTATTTTGAAAATAGCTGCAAGAATTTTTTTTTATTTATCCCAGTCAAATTGTCTAAGTCTAAGAATGTCAACAAATTTGAACAAAAACATTTTTAGTGCCAGATTTGCAGCAGCCAGCATGAATCATTGAAATTTGAAAGAGTTTGGTACTGAACCTGGGGGCTGGGAGGCTGGGAATTCAGAATTGCAAGTTTTCTTGCAGCAATTTCTTTCAATCAATCTGAAGACGCAATATAAATATTTATGATCTAGGTAGCCAATTCAGCAATTGTGCAAGCTTTCATCATGCACATGTCAAGAAAATTATTATTTGTATGATTATTGTTTGAACTTTGTAGAAACTGCAGAACAAAAAATAAAATGTAACAAATATTAATAGGCCTATCTTCTGAAAAAATTTGTTAGCTAATATACCCTAATTGGAAATATAACCAAAAAGTCCAGTACTCCTATTGATGGGTCAAAACTGCTCATTGAGTTCTAGTTCTACTGCCTAAGGAGAGTGAGAAACTCTCCTTAGGAGAGTTTCTCACTCAATGCCATTTGCCATCACTCAGTAATTTAGTTTCCCTAAGTTATTGAAATGGCACACTCCAGCAGTCCTTCACTTGTACCGGTGGCTGTGTAGTTGCTGGCCATCTGCAAGCAAGCAGTGCTCATGTTTGAAAGGAAATTGCAAGTACTATCATATTGTAAACTATTCCATGAACTCAGAAATTATAATTTTTAAAGAAGGTTGTGGTATTACTATTTCTAGTTTTGCATCACAGCAGCTAAAATAAATATTTTTTTACCATTAACAAAAAGTATTTTTTCCAGATTGCAGACTTTTCCAGATGCTTTTCGATATGGCTATAAGGAGGTGGAGAAGCTACATACTCGAATTGCACACCTTGGGGCACAGCCCAATGGAGTGTTTCAAGTTGACTGTGACACCTACTACATGAATCAGCAAAATAGTCAGTTCAATGGTATATCTGTTTTTAGACTATACTTTGAATTTTTTACATTTATTTTACAATATAATGTTTGTGAATTTGAGGACTCTATTGAAATTTGTGAAAATGTGTCAATGGACTGTTCTTGAAGTTTCTTTCTATTAATCTGAGACTGAATGAGAATTATATAGGAATACTCATAGCTGCAGTTTACAGTGCACATGTATGTATTTTCATTCAACAATGTTCTTGCACTCAAGATACATTAGCTTCAAAACTATTGTTATTTTTGAGGCGAATAGTGGATCTGGTGACCATATTATGTACCCATGTAAAATAAAAAAGAAAAAAACTGGTGAGGCAGTTGAAAATGCTCACAAAATCATTAGTGAGCATGTATGTATTTTCATTCCACCATTTCTCCAATTCCTAAAGTGTGAGGATTTGTTAATTAACAACCATATGTTCCAGATTGGATTGTCTGAGAGATTGACTGTGCATGAATTAAAAGTTTTAATTGAGTATTTATTCTGTAATTGGTTTCAGATATTCCTGGCAGTGGCTCAACAGTGAACAAAAAGCTCCACATCCTGCACAACACTGAAACTCCCGCCTCCACTTATGCCATCATTGAATCGCCTGGCAAGCAGGTCACATAATGACATCAAATTACAGAGGAGAAACAATAATTAAGACTTTTCCACACTGGCATAGTTTCATAAAAGAAATGAGATTTTTTTATCACTATAGTTGTGCATATGTTGATGCAACTCTATTAGTCACCTTCATCTCTAGGACATATTTTATTTTTTGCCATGTATGTTGTTGGTAATGATTGTTGTCTGTCAACATTAGACTTAAATTGAAATATTTAGTATAGTTTTTGTGATCAAGTGTGTTTTCCTTGATTTACTGATGAAGAACATATTCATCTTATATTGTCATCATGCTCAGTTATATTATATATGCTTTCACTTTTGGACAAGATTTTTGTGGAGAAATTGGTTACCTACTCCTATTATATATATATTTTCAACACTCATCTTGCAACGATGTGATGCTCAGGTAACTCTGTGTGCGGACCTTATGTTTGATTTGTTGCTGCCACGTTTGAGTCACATGTACACTGCAAAGAAGAATCTCAAAGTGGAGACCAAGGGAACAAGATTCACTGTGTCTGACTTCATTGTCAAGATAGGCTCTGTGTCTATGAGCAGTGGGCAGTACAAAGGCATCCTTGTAGAGGTTTGTTGTCATATTAGTGTCTTAAAAATTTCATTTATTGGGTGCTACCTTTTTTCTAATCAATTTTGCATGATACTTTTTGCTGTTCTTTACTCATAATTTACTCGTACTTATTTGCCCTTGCCTAGTTCTCACTATTTTCCATGATATTCTGTGGTTTTCCTTGTATTTTTGACCTTTCTGATTTATTTCTGAGCTGCTTTGCATCATTTCAATTTCAAAATATTGGTGTTATTTTTTTCTTTATTTCGGTATTGTATTTATTTTTTCTTTTTCTTGTTATCAATTTGGGATTTTTTAAGACCTTCATATGCTAAACTATTCTTCTTTTTTATGACAGGTTTCTTATGTTGCCTCATATTGCATTGCATGTAAAGTTACTATTTCTGATATTACAGCGTTATTCTCCTTGCTCTGCATTTAACATAACAATGAACAATATTGCACAGGTAGAGTACCTGGCCTGCAGTGTGCCTGCCTTGTGTTGGCCTATCCTGCGAGAGTTCCTGCAGAGCTTCATGGGATTCTGCGTGTCTTCCCAACCTCCGCCATACCTGCAGGTGCCTGCCTTAGTGCTGCATTCACTGTTTCCTTGTGAAGTTCATTTATTGTAAAGCCTGAAATTTCTCTGTATGTTTAGGTTTGGACAACAAATTACATTTGTGCTAAAACTGCTCTTCCAGAATTTTTTTTTTTTTCATTAATGTTTGCTGCAGTCGACGTATCGTTTGCCCCTACCAGGCTCGGTTCCAGCAAGTACAAGGTCCCCAGGACACGATGCAGCAATACCTCGAGAAGTTCAATGAGTTCAGGGAGAGTTCTGCGTACCCTGTCACTGGTAGCCTCAGCGCCTCGCAGCCCGGCACCACTTCGACCTCTACACCTTCATGAGCTCAACATTTTAAATTATATTTTAACTCCGACCCTAACCCTCGTCAGACGGCCTAATTTTACAGCGTTGTAATCATTCCATAATGTAGGTACAGTTGTACCTGTGAAGTCCTACAAGAGTTTCTAGGTTTGAGGAAGAATACCATTGGGGTAAGAATACCATTATTGGGTTTGAGTCAGAATACTATTGCAACGTTAGTACCATTTGTCTCATCGGTTAGGTAATTATTGAGCGGTGAATTTGAGACGTCTAATAATACGTTTCCGTCAATCTCTTTCATTAGGTAGAAGTATGTTGGCAAGTGTTTCTCATTACCAGCTGTCATATTATAGTGTGTTTGTCATTGTTAGTAGAAGTGTGGCATTTAAAGTGCGAATTTTACAAGAAAGAAATTTGTAGTCACTAAAATAGTTTAACTGGTATATAATCATATCAGAAATTATCGCTCAATCTGATGCTAGAACGCTCAACTTATTTTCTTGAATGGTAAATATCATGCCGCCGATAGAATAATAAAAAACATTCTTTTTGGATAATATATCTCTTATCCTGAGTTCCAAGCCTCATTAATGAATGTACGCTATGTGTCATTTTTCAACTCGGTTTTCAGTGTATCTTTTCTACCTTGTGATTGTTTTTTAATGTTCAACGTTTCTTTCCACCATCGATTAAAATAGTTGTTAGCAATGCTGGAGATTGATGAGAAATGTTGTTGGCTATAAGCTCAGATGATGGGAACGCCTTACATGGTCGATATGATGCAGTTGGCTCACCATATTTAGAGTTACCGCTTTATATGCTTATTACGAGTATTTCGTTTACGCTGTGAAAATCTGGAGGTATTATGCATTGTAACTTGAAATTGCTGGTATTCAGGCGTAAACGCGTCGGCTTAAAAGTATTTCAGGAAAAGTTGTTGCATTGTCATGGAATAGCTATATACAGAACAATTAAACATCGCGTCTCGATCGATAAGTCACTTGGTGGAGATATTGCTGAAGCAGCGAGAGAGATATGCATATGGTACCTCGATACTGACAATGATATCAAGATTAATTTTGAAAAGCAATAGCCCGTGTTAAGGTTAATAAATCTGCCGCCTGGTACGAGTGATAGATTTTAGTTGAGTATTGCTACAGACAGCAAAGCTAGATGACATAATATTTCGGTGTTAATTTGACGTGGACTATTTTTTCTTGACCGAAACTATTATCGTTGACGCTCAGAGTATTCTAGAACAGACTAGATAAAGCTGTGAAGAAATATATGTTCAGACTTGAAATGCCTAGAACGATACAAACCTGGTCCAGCAGCTATTACAAACCAACGTCAGTTTTGAGAAGTTCCGGTCAAAGAAGAGAAGTTTAGATCTCCTCTGAACGTCACAAAAAGCACAAGATTCATCGTCAGGCCATTCCAGGCCCATTTTTAAGTACCGAAATCAATATACTATAGCTATTATGATGAATGAGGCCAATTACAAAATACATAAAGCGTGTGAGCGCTGCAATATAAAGATTTGGGTTGTTGAGCGGTTGAATATTTGACCAAAGCAGTATGTAATGTGGTGTTTAGTAGGAGAATTATGTGGGTATTTTAGAATCTATATCTTTTGGATTTAACGTTAGAAGTTAAGGAAAATCCATTGAAAATTTTTGCTATTTGTTTTTAAATCATTTGATGTAATCGTAACTATTCATGAGGCGTATTCAATAAAATTTAGACTTCTGATGAGAAGGATTTGGGTTTTGTTCAATACCATATGCTGCATATGGCGGTTTTGCTGTTCATTAGATGATGTAGTCTTTTGTAGTGTTCTGCCAGTACTTGGTCTTCCCTTGAACAGTGCAGTGAGTGCACAGTGCACGCTCGCACATTAGTAATTGAACGTCTGTGGGAGTGAGTGGTTGAGACTGGCTGTGATTTTCTGTGACGAATCTTCGCGGAAATCGTCTCATCCTTTCGATTGTTCATTTGATTGGTGCTGTCTGGTGTCAGTGCTGGTCTCTTATTAGTTTGTTATAACTAACTACTATTCTTTATTGTAAGTTCAACTATGAGAAGAGACTTATTATTTTGTAAAATCTAGTAAATTAGCTGTACGCTGTCGGCTCATCGGCTGTAGCCTGTAGCTAGGTACTGTGTTCGAGTGTGGTGGTAGTAGTACCTAAAACTAGTAATCCTGATACCTAGTAACTTGTAATACCTGCCTAAGCATAAAACTGAGTCTGCACTCTGCAGCATAGATTAACATTAAGATGTCTGTAGTCTGTACATAGCAATTTACAATCCACAGTATTTCTGGAATATTAATATATTGAGTTCATTTCTGTAAATTTCATAGTATTTTTGTGTAGATATAATCATAGTGTTATTTAAGGACTTATTAAAATACAGAGTACCTAGGCTACAGATTGTTCTGCATTTTTATCAATGTATTTGATTACAATGAATAACTATTTACCTTTTACAGTTTTACTACCTCATCATGATGAGGTAGACTTGACTCAGATTTGCAAGTTCCAACTTTTATTTTGGAGTAGGCCTATTGGCCAAAAGTTCCCTAAAATCATGGGACATGGATAAAAATGATAATTTCACAAGTGATCCTAAAAAATTGCAGGTCAAACTGTAAAACAGGATATTTTTCTCATTTTCACTAAAGAAATTGGGGGAAAAGTCTGTAGTCATGCCCATAATAGCTAGTAAGATTGATAAGATGAACAGGCATAATTGCTCAATTTACAGGTGGCTTCTGCCCAATTTTGCACTTTGTCACAAATCATAAGTTTAGTCATAGCTATCTAGTGACTCAGTAAAAAAATTTTTTTCTCTCTGAACCTAAACTGGATTTTTTGAGCTGTAGTTTTATGGATTTTTAAGTGGCAATTTCACTTATTTGAGCTGTAAATTCCATATCTTGGCCATCATTGAGCATGAGCCATTTACAAGCAGCGCACTTCTTTTCAAACTCCTAGGCAGGGCTGGAAAAGTCCTGCTTTTTTCTCAAATATCCTAGCTCTAATATCATAGAATTTCAGTAGGTACAAAATTTTGCTGCTCTAATATCATGTATTATTGTTAGATTGAAAAATTGCTGTTTGCAACTTTGCAAACATGTTTCATAAAATTTTCAACTTGCGCAATGATGGCGGCATGGCGCTATCCACATTACTTCAACATTCCCACCAAAATATCCTGCAAAATTTAATAACAACAAGTCAATGCAAAACGTTTCCTTGAAGATCACATAGCTGCAGTCGCATCAGAGCGGTCAGACTGCATTATGCGTTCAGTTGCCATGTAAGTGAAGCCAAATGTTGGTTTTACTGTTCATGTGTTTTAGGGAGGGTAAAATTAGAGATTTGGGATAACACATGCACAGACTTTGTAAATACGTTTGCGGCTCGTTAATGGCTTTTCATGGCAAGATATGGAATTCACAGCTGAGCTCAAGGAAATGGAATAAAATCCATAAAACCATGGTTCAAAAAAATTTGGTTGTGACTTGCCAAGTAGGTATATTCCATGCCTACTCTTGAGCACATGTTGCCCCAAATCTCCAATTTTGCCATAGAAACAGCAACAATAACATTTGTCTTTACTCTAGCTGCAATTGAACACGTGACAATGCAGTCTGACCGCTCTGACAGTCTGACGGGTAGTGAAATTCTAGGAATGGAGGTACTTATGGTTCTCCGCCTCTTTGTTGCGCACTCCGGAAAGTGGCAACTTGCGGCAGTCTAAACCCAGCCCAGTCTAAACCTGATGGGCTTACAATCCCTGCTCAGAATGAACAATCCTACCCCTTGAACCCATTGCAACTCCACCTCAAAATGGCATTGTGCAAATTAACTGCAACTCCAATGCACTATGCCACAATCAAATCTATAATTCACAAGCAAATATCACAACACGGGTATTGAGAGGTTGTTGTCAGACCAATGGTTGTCAGACCACACCATGCCATACATCACGTAAAATGCACACATTCATTGAAGAAAGTGGACTGGATATTTTATACTGGCCTGGAAATTCTCCAGACATCAATCCCATTGAAAACTCGTGGGCTATAATTAAACTAAGACTCCTGAAAGAAGGCTGTTCTACAATGGCAAAGCTAATTTCTGCTCTTTAGCTTTGCCATTGTAGAACAGTCTCCTTTCAGGAGTCTTAGTTTGATTATAGCCCATGCTGTGAGCTGTGGTGGTGCAGTGGTGAGAGACTCTGTCTCTCACACCCAGCACCTGGGTTCGAGTCCCACTGAGGAAAAGTTCTACCGGGAAGCTCATCTCATGGTCAACTCAGCCATTCATCCAACTCTGGTTGATAAATGAGTACCTGGCTTGTCCAGGGTGTTGTGTAATGCAATAAAATGGTTCTGGTGGGTCAGCAAGCCTGTGATGGTCATAGAACTACCAGTGGTACCGAGTTCCTGGAAAAACTGACCTATCACCCCCCCCAACCTCCCTAGTCGCCACTACCAGGATGGGCAATTACAACAACAACAACCATTTCTGCTGTAATTAGGACCTGGTATCATGATGAGCAAGTGACTAAAATGTGTTCAATTTTGGTCAAATCCATGCTAAATTGTGTTCAAATGCTTGTAAAAGCAAAAATAGGTCATATCTGCTATTATTTCTGTCATATTTTGTACCATTGGTATGTTTTTTTTTGAATAAAACTTCAATGTGGCAAATAATTGTGTTATTTCAACCACTGTCCGAACTAATTTACACAGTACTGTATAACTGAAGTTATTTTATTCAACCTACTTAATTTTCTGTAATTTCAAGCTGCAAATTCATTTATCAAGCAACACTGGCATGGAATATATAAACTGTTGAAGCCATAACTAGAGCTTTCCTGCCTACACCCCACTTGCAACTCAGGCGTGTAGTGCTGTATTTTAGCTTTGAAAAATCAAATGTAGAATGCAGTTTTATATTTTGCTAGACTTTTCTTCAGGTAAAGCTTATAAGATGGATTTTAAATTACAACATAATTTATGGAAAAGCTTCATGCTGGTATGCAATTCTTTGCCATTATTTTCTCCTAAATATTACAAAATAAAATTCTGCGCTTGATATTTTTCTCCCCTGTGCACATTAGTATTGATTATTTGAGCACTTGTTGAATTGTTATACTAAGTTTTGCATTCTTGCAAGTACTAGATTTCTGTTATGTAATCTCTGCATTCTTCTAACTTGATTATTTGTTTTCAGGAAGCTTGGTGCCTGTCACTCACAACTTGGATTGGACTGTGAGAAGCTGGGATCATGGCACAATATTCTGAACAGCTCTTCCTGGCTCCTCATGCGTCGGGAGTTTACAACGTTGCTCTTGCTCACCATAACAATCAAGCTCTCGCTTCTCACAGGCCTCCTTTGTACTCTTTAGGATCATACTCGGCTTCAAATGCTCAGCTAGCACCAACAAATATAAATAACTATCAGAATTTATTACAATACCAACAAAATGCTACTGCTGCAACTCATTATCAAAATAATACCACTGCCCTTATACCCTATGCTAATGCACAGCAGATGGCTGGCATCCGCACTTTTGAGGAGTTGCAGAACTCGGAAGAGTTTGACCGAAGGTCCCGTAAGATGATCAATACTATTCCTTCCCACCCAATTTTGCCTTTTCCCTCGATGCAAGATGATAGAAAGTATAGCTACAAATTAGCTGACATGAAAGAAATTTTTATGTGGTACACTGCAAGACAGCAAGCTGTTTCAAGAGCTTTTGGACACAGAGCTATTGTAGAAAACCTAATAATATATCTTGAAGGTCTAAAGGTCACCTACAGAGACAAAGATATATCCATTAAAGAATGCGTGAACTGGGCTGGTGTTCTTGACACTGATGGTGGGCCTCGACCTGATGAAGCTTTTCGTGATAGTTTGAACATAAAGATGGAAGCAGATACCAAAATAACTTGCCCATTCATCATAGACACCGTGGTGAACTTTCTACATACTGGCACTCTGGGGAGCCTGTGTATGATGGAGACTATCTCTTCATACTTCATTCCAGTTCATAATGGCAGTGGCCTGTCAAAAAGTGAAATTTATCAAGATGCCTCTCAGCTCACTGACAAGGGAGTTGGATATAAGAAGGTTGTAGGTGGCTATGCTCCAGGAGAGTGTGGAACCCTGACAATACACCAAGATGGCTCCTATTCTCTAAAGGCCTATGGAATCATACTTGTAGTTGGTATAGACTTTGTAGCAATGACTTGCAAGCCTGTCACAATTGAGCGTCTTACCACATCCTCTATTCGCCTACTGCATCCTCGTGGCCAGTACAACCTTCCCAAGCATGTCCTGAGATATCCTAATCGTCCTGTCGCATCTGATCTTACTTTGCCAAGCACTCCGATGAAAGGCACGGAGACTCCGCATGGCACCATGGTCTTCATGCGCCGTGACCATCTCATCTGATCTGCTAACTATATGTTCTTAGTCATCTAAATAAAATCGTGATGTCTCATAAATCAAATAGAACTAAATGCTTCCACAATGAAAAATAATTTTCTATTTTTCAGCATGTAAAAAATAAGGAAATATGGAAAGCACAGTGGATAAAGAATATAATTTTGATTACCACACAATATAAATTGTATACTACTGTAATACTCTTTGTATACTACATTAGCATAATAGTCTTGCTTCAGGTAGCATAAGTTAATATTGTTTAATACCTGTCTGATTAATTTTTAAGAGAAGTAGTAGGCAGTAAACGGGGAATATGTATTTTCAGTGCATATACTTTACAACGCCACAGCACAATCTGAAATTTCTGACATCAACTGATGTTCGAGCGATTTTGCTGTGTTTCAGGTGCTATCCTTGCTTTCTTAGACATCTTAGTCATTTTATGGCTGTGTTGGAGTGTCTTCTGTTGTAGGGCCAAGTATTGGAAATCAGCTGAATTTCACATCTAGCCAGCCTTTAGTCATGAATTTAAAAGCTAATCATTTCACGATTTCAACTTTCATTTAGATTAATTCTCATCAAGAAACTTGGATCATCATGACATATTTAGAGATCTGGCGCCATGACTGATGAACATATTGTGAATGAACACAACTTTTAGTTAACTTTTAATGTTTTGTATAGGGAGTGGTGCATTTGTACCACGGTTAAACTTTGCAAATGTGATGTGCCCGTTGAATCTGTCTGTTAAGATTTGCTGGGTTTCTGCTGTGCAGAGCTAGAATTACTCGGTATACTTGCCTCCCAACAGGATCTGTGTAATTTTAATTGACTATTTTTCAAAATATAATTAAAAAATACCTAGTACTGCTCGTGAACAGATTTGACAATGTAGTTAGTATCCTGGAATGTTTCATTGTATCAGGTGATCATTTTCATATTCTGGAAATTGCTTATTTATTTTGAAAACAAATTTAATCATGTTAGTGATTCGACTCTAGATTGTAATGATGAAGGCTGCTAATATGCATTGCTGAGACTTATTGCTTCAACTTTCTATCCTGCCTGTCTAGCACACCTAACTGTGAAGCCAGAAGTTAAATAATTTTAGTGTGATGTAAATTTTGATGCAGACGAGTACGGCATACTTGACTTATATTTTGCCTCGCTTTCATTGCAGTCAATGTAGTGCTTTCTATTGTTAATTGCCTGTAAATTGTGTGTTGCATTGAACTTAATATATGAAAAAAGCTATCTTTAGTTTCAAGAAAGAACCGAACTACGTTGTTTCGTGCGCTTCAACTTACTGTGGAAAATCCACCAAAGGTTTTCCCGTGTAATCTTCTACTTGTCGGCATAGATTTCTAAGCCTTTTAAAGGTGAAAATATTCAGTACAATTTTTGAATGTCCAGTGTTGTTGCCTAGCACCTGAAAGTCAACCGAGAACTGAAAAATCGAGTTGTACTTACTTTGAACTTGCAGTAATTTCAGTAAAATTTTGTTTTTACTTTATACTGGGAGTTAATAATTGCGCATCCTGTTGTAATTATTTCTATTCTGGTGCCGATGCGACCACTCGAGCTGCAGTTGACGACATAGCGGAGATGTTCTGGAGGGAAGATTCTGTTGCAGTCTCAGTAACTGCAGGGAAGTAGAGGCTCTAGAATTGCTGAATTGCTATTGCATGCAGTTATGAAGCCGCTTTAGTTGGCTACCATTCAGTAAATTCAATCTTGAGCATTACTGGGGTTGTTAACATTTCACCTTGATCTATGAAACTAATTCATATTTCCATTCTTTCAACGCATATTTTTGCTTGTAAAATTTGCTTCTACTTCCCTCAGTCATTTTTCTATGGATTCACCTACTGTGCCTGTCACGTCGCGACTGGCTGTGATTAATTCTAGTTATGTATTGTATAAGTGTGAAGACTTACCCGTATACCCGTATATTTTGTGTACATTACCCTGTGTAGTTAGTTATTGTAGCTTTAACCAAGTGATCATACGAAGGTGCTGGCATGTGAGATAGTGAACATGTCAATGCTCTTTGCTATGTCTTCCACGTAGTCAGGAATTCTTCCAACATCTGCCGTTGCAGTTCTAGCAAGTTAAGCTTAAAAGGTTCGTTGTTGAGCATAGTGTGTGGACGACCAATGGATACTTCTTGAAGAATTGTTGCATTGCAATCCGCAAAACGCTGTTCCAAAATTATTTGAAAACAACTATTTCTCTAAAAAAATTGAGTACTAAGATTGTGGCATAAATGTCCTTCTGTTCAGAATTCAGCTCATGACTTTTATTGTTAAATTGTAGGTAATTTTTAAAATATAAATTGCAGTTTGATTTCAATGAGCGTTTTCCGCCTTAATTTATTCTTTAGTAATTAATGTTGTTTGTAAACAGCTCAAACGCAGGCCGCTGAGGAGCCCTTCTTTTGTTTGTGTCCTATTTTTGTGTTGTAACCGATTTATTCATTTTGCTCGCATTCCATTATGTATTACTCAGGCAAAATTGTGCCTTCAATGTCTGAAAGACGTCACGTTACATTTCGCTTATACGTCGTTGCTTTTCCTCGAGGACTCAACACTGGCCTGCCGGTAAATGGGTGCCTACACCGGCTCGGGGGCCCATACTATCAATAATTGTTAGGAGTTCGGTACTCTGGCCGCCAGTTACTGACAGATTTTTAAGCTGAACCCACTTACCAGATACGAAATCGGCCACTTCGTTTACTGAGGCTGTAACGTGTATATATATACTTCAGCAAGTTTTTAAAATAAGACTTCGGGAAACTGTTATCCCATTATTTACTTTAGGCAGCTCTCGTTGCCAGGCCTTTATGTGGAAATAACATTGATTTTAATGGTTTTGAAGCCACAAGGTTCATCATTCTTATTCAAGCTGGTTCCTGCTAAATATGTTGCTGTGTACCATAATGGCAAACAGAAACTTTTTATTGCCTGTTCCTCTTTCTATTATATGATGGACTTCAATATTTTATTATCTATCTTATGTATGACAATGCTACTATCTATGATACTTAATTGGTTAACTCATAGGACTGAGAAGGAAGTGCAACTAAAATGTCTCTCTTATGTGTACTCTATTTTTATTTCCGCGTCTGTGAATGTGTGGTTGTCTACTTCTGGAACATACTCAGTAGACTTATTCATTTATCTCAGGAGTATGAAAATGTGACGTGTTTCTCCAAGTAACCTCTAGTTTTTAATGCAGTAAATCACTTGATATTCCTAAACGTATTTCTGAACTGAAGCTTCATGAAACCTAAAATGGGCTACGTATTTTTTTATGATTATCACCATTGTTGCTTATACAAAATTCAGCGTCAGCCTGCATAGGCAAAGTTTTCTAGAGTCGATCCAACAATATTTTCAATTTTTAATGTCGAAGTAAGATGCAATCTCAAGACTAGAAGGTGTAATGGATTATAGTAGCTTCATGTTTCGTAGCCTAATTATGGTATAAAGTCTGCGTATGGACTCCAGACTCCACCCATGCCCACTCCATTTGCGTTCTGTTTTTGGTCCCTTATAAACTAGTTAGTTTACTAAAGTTATTGTTCAAAATATTATATCAAATGAACGATGCAAAATTTAATTTTGCGTCATCTTTTCGATATTTAATGCGACTTTTGTACAGCGAAATTTTGTGACGTCGTATTTTTATGGTAATTTGTTCTGCTGTCTATTCCTCGACTATATTCTTATTCAACCACGTGTTTTTATGTTGGGTATCTTACAGACATTTTCTATAGGATGTCAAGTTAATGTTTTCTTGTTCATTCTAAGTTGTTAGGAAGATATTTGTTCATTGACTTCGAGTCTTAATTAACTTTTTGTTGAACCAAAATGAAACGGTCATATTTTACTAGCCCTCATTTGACGTTCTGGCGATGGAAAGCGTATATACACACAATCCAGAGCTCATTCATGCCATTAAACTTGTGTGTTTTATCACAAGAGGGAACTGAAGTAAATTTACATTGTAATTATGTTTGTGAGATGCACGTTGACTAAGCCTCCGTTCATATTTAACCTCTTTTTGTTACACTTTGGTGCACCGTATTATTGCGAGTTGAAGTGCTTGTAAATATCTTATAGCGGCTGGAAACTTGAGGCACATGAATAGGTATCGCCTCAGTCTATGAAATTTGTAGTACACTTCATTTATAGTCTTGGTCTACTTGTACTAGACTAGCCTTCAACGCATCATCAGTCATTTAAAGTCGTGGTCTACTTGTACTAGACTAGCCTTCACGCATCATCAGTCATTTAAAGTCGTGGTCTACTTGTACTAGACTAGCCTTCCAAATACAGCTCGTATCGTTGCCGCGTTGGCATCAGGTAGCGATTTGTCTTGGTAAATTGTCAAGATCTCTTTCTGCTGTCGCCTCACTGACGTGTCATTTAAATCCAGTAGAATAGCTTCTGATATTGAATTAAATTATCTGCCCTGAAATAATTGACTGGATTAAGTTCTGATCGCGCAATCAGATTTGGTCTGAATTTCAGAAATCATATGTGCTTTACATTGATATTCCGAATTCAATTTTTTATCGTGTTCTCCCCTCAGGGGGGACTTCAGACGTGTATCTGTGCTCGTCGGAAGCTCCATGGGGATTTCGCGCTCCTAGGGAGATTTGAGCGCCCCCCCCCCCCGCTGAGCTCGCAGTGTCTGACTGCAGGTCTCAGTTGTGGGGTTAATCTATCATGTAGGTATCATGTCTCTCTCGTGCGGGCGGCCGACGTCCCGTGTAAGCGACCTCTTGTTCGAGTGTCTTCGTTTCTGTTGCTTGTCACCTGTCCCTCCTTGTCACTTCGTCTCTTTGAGATGCTAACGCTGTTTCCTTCAAGCCAGCTTCAGCGGGCTGGACATCTGAGACCTTCCGCCCCTTGTGGGTGATGATTAATTTGAGATTTTGAATAATTGAGACCTTCCGCCCCTTGTGGGTGATGATTAATTTGAGATTTTGAATAATTGAGACCTTCCGCCCCTTATGGGTGATGATTAATTTGAGATTTTGAATAATTGAGACCTTCCGCCTCTTTGGCGATGTTATATTCTGACTTTCGGTGCGAAATAGCTTGATAGCTGAAGCGCTAGCAAACCATTATACTACTACTACTGAATATTTTGTCTGCTCGTCTCTTCCTCCGACTGTGCCTTGAGGGTGTTTTTATCAGCTCTATTATTCAGATGTCAATACAGTTAATTTACAACTCATTAAGGCAGTTTCGAACGGCTTACTTTCTGTATTGAAATAACAAATATGTCTTCCTTTTTTGCGTTGGTAAGAGTTGCTGAACTCTAGTGGTATACGTGTATATTGTAGCACCACGTAAAAGCGTAAAGTCTATATATTTTCTCCACGACGATGCGCATTATCTTTTTCTCGTTTTTCACCTGTTTTCACCTGGCTTTAGCGTCACTTTCGTATGATTAAGTTAGTGTTTCTACGCTGCCCGTCTGGCAATTGATTATTGACTTGGAATTGGTCGCCGAGCTCTATTTTGTTCTTGACTTCGTGATGTGATATCATGTCAGTTGATGTTTTTGTCTCGTGATCACATGTAGCTTATTGACATACTATTTCTCATATCGTGTACATTATACCGAATTGGAAAGGTCATCGCATCTTGGTGAAGAAATCTGTACGATTTAACGATCGGATATCTTGACTTCAGTGCAGTCTAAAGCTTAGCTGGTAAATATTTTTCTATCAATTAAATACTGATTGAAATTTGCTCAGGTCGTACCTAGATTTAAGATACCACTCGGCAAACGTGATCACATGGCAATTATTAAATATGTGAGGCCATTTGTGAGGTAGGCGTCCATTAAGTGACGTATGTTGTCGCTTGCAAGTTTAATTCACAGCGCAAGACCAACGTTGATATTGCGTGCTGAGTAACTTCTGAGCTGCATACGTATAGTAGGATAGCAGTAGTTTATCACGCTGTTCAGTATCACCCAAACTTTTCAGCTCCTCGTTGTGTCGTTGAAATTGATAAATTACCTGCAGAAGTCGAGCCTCAGTTTGAGAACTATTGACGAATTGGGGACAGGAGCAAGAGTCTCCTCAGTGTATTGTGATCTCGCAGCTGCGTGAGCTGACCGCAATCCCGACTTGAATCTAATTTGTGACATTTACTGGCCATGCAAGTGTTGCGGTCAACTTGGGAATTCGCGAGAAAGGTGCCTTAGGGGAATCATGAAATGAGTCATAAGATAAAACACGCGATGAATTACGAAATGAATTTATGGGTGGTAATAATGAGATAGTCTAAACGAAAGACCTTAGTTGTAACTGCGCTCACCACGTTTGCAGTTGGCGAAGAGCATCAGGTGCCTCTGTACATTATGTGCCTTCCGTGGCAAATATAATGTTCGGTAACAATTCTTTTTTTATCCTCTTTGAAGAATCTCAACAGCACCCGGGATCAGTCAACCTCACTAGACCTGTTGACGAGTCTGTGAAATCTGACGGAGTCTTGAGCAGTGAGGAAAAGTTTGATGCACAACGCAAGGCGAGGTAAATTTATTAGATTATGAGAATGGGTTTGTTACATCAATTTTTACCGACATGGAATTGCAAAAAAAAAAAAAATTTGCAAGCTCATGTGCATCAAGACCTCAGCATGTGTAGAAGGAGACCTGAATATAAGCACGTATATTATATTAATGAGGTTATGCCAAAGTCTTGCACGGGAACGTCACGTTTGACTTCATAAATAGAGAAAGCGAGGCTACTGTTCAATGTTAGCCGTCGAAATACGTTTCTATTTGCGATTTTGAGTAGACTTACACAAATTTTTGGAGCGTCCGTAAATCGAAAGATCCATACATAATTTAACGTTCATTTTCAGAAATGATCTCAAGCAAGAATTACGATCGGAAGTTGTTAGACATAAACATTAATGATGATCATTCCACAAACGAGATGAAAAAAAAAATAAAAACTTCCAAATTACAAACGTTAACTTACCCTTGAGAAGCGAAACGCGTAAATATCGAACGATAATTATGAACCAGTGTGGTAACGTTTCAAGTGAATCGCTACGTCGTCTCTCGCGGTTAATCGCGACGTTCTCAATTATTGAAGATAATAATGTGCAGGTAGAAACAAATGTAATAGAAAATGATTAGAATATTTCAGAAACATAAACATAAATAATCAGGCAACTTAGAATAATAATACTGAATTCTTAAAATAATCTTTGGTCTGCTGGAGAATATGCGGGTATCAGGTACGACAATGAAACGATTCGTGAAATTTTTGCATCAAAGCCATGGGTTGAATATCAGTGAAGTCTGCAATGAGATTCAATCGCGCACGACATTGAAAATGTTGATACACGCCCATGACACGCTTCGCTTGAATACTGGATGAAACTTAATGTTACTCAATCGTTAACTTACGCGTTGAAAAGAAAACAGAGAAGAGGATGTAATAAATGACTCCACTACAAACAGAGGAATGGTACAGATAGTTTAGGAAGCGCAGCTTAATTAGAGTAATGAGAAAAGTATGTGTTACAGAAGTTTGGTCAATGGAAATGGTCATATTAATTAGTTTGTGGCGGTCATTCGTTTGTGCAAATATTTTTTTCAAGCATTTTCAGACTGGTTTTGAAAATAATTTCAAACCAATTGATTACTTATTAACAGACGTTAATATGACAAATAACAGAAATTGGGCATGGATAACACCACCGTACATGTAAGAAAACGTTCACTTCCTAGAGAAAATCAAGTAACAGATCTTACATCACAATTACATATCATTAATGTATATGTAGAGTATAAGCAAGCACAGGCCGAGACGCACGGCATAGGGAGGCTAGATAAACTAGATCGCCGTAGCAATAGTTCCTTACAACACGAGATCAAACTTAGTAAGCATGTCTGGCCAAGAACTCCCTCTCCATGAACTCACTTCGCTAAGCAATGCCAATACAACTCACATCGTCCCAAATAAACAACACATCAGTCCCACGATCTACAATAGCGACCGACATTTATTACTAGGTGAGCAAAATTAAATACTCTCAGCTTGGTCAAAACTGTGAAATCAAACTCTATCATACCGCAATAATATTGACGACTGTCCATTTACCAGGTATTTTGATACAGGGAAAATATCTAATTCAACTGCAAGTCCGCCCTTTACAATTGTAGATAGAGTTTTCTTTAAATAATTGTGCTCTAAAGCTGGTTAATGATTGCTTAGAAATAAAGGACGCTGAGTGTAGATCAAGAAAGCAGTTGCAGTTGTAAAGCGATAAAAGCGTAAAGCCGACGGTTGTCTGAAAATTGGCTCTACTTGGTATAGCAGAACAGTTACAATTCAAGAAAATCGGGTATTTTATAATACTTCAAAGAAAAGACATATGATATTTTTCAAGCCGCCGAGAGGGAGAGAGAACATCAAATTGATTCCATTAATTGAAATAGCAAAATGTTTCAACTCAATGAGTCACAACTTGTATTTATAACCCGCTTGTGACGCACACCCTTCGCATCCACCAGAGCTTCTCTAACGTTTACAATCTGCCTCCCAAATTAACATACCATAATAAGCAAAATACATCTTCTACAAATGTCGCCATCACTGATGTACAAGCTAAACTAGAGAGCTAACTTCGACTACCCCAGGAAAATTGCTAAGTAACCTCTATGGAATTGATAAAGCACCATTTTTTCTAGCCACTTCTTTGCGGGCTCAGCTTAATTAAATGAAGTCATGGACAGCAGTTTACAGCCTAATCCGTTTTAAACTCACCTGGTAATGATAATTTAGCGGAAACATTTTCTAAACTAATACGAGATCATGAACATCTTAAATGTAAATAAAATGACGACTTTTAACAAAACACAAATCATGTATGTTTTGCAAGACGTTCAAAGATTTTCACAAGGAAGCAACTAAATTGGTAGAAAAAATAGCGGCAAAACAATGCAGAGACAACAATGCACAAGAATTCGTTCAAATTTACGTAAAAATTATTTCATGAAATAGTCAAAACACGAGTTATTTACTGACACACAAGCATTCATAGATTGAAAATCTATAGTAGGTATCTAATTATAACGACAGCCACCAGATGGTCAGCAGGAAAGAATATATTAACTATAATTGGATTCAATTAAAAATAGCGAAGTGTGATAATATTATGCTCCCTTAGGATTTCCGCAGCATTTAAAACTGAAAAACTTTGACGATGAAACGATTTTCATTCTGCGACAGCTACAAGCTCAAGATCATAGAATGAATCATATACCTACTCTGAGTACATTTAAATTCGTACTTGATGGATTATGAATAGAACTTTGTACGATATAAACTATTAAGATCTTTTAAGAGAAGAAAATTCAGTCACGATCCTCTGCCTTATTAATATCGTACAGACCGATAGTTAAGCAAGTGAACAGGAAGGTTTCTTGTCTGTGTATTACCAGACGTCCATTGAGGAATTCTTGGCAGCGAAGAATTGCAGTTTCCTAAGGATTCAAATCAGGCCACGCCTTCCTCTTTATCTCCAGAGCTTCCTGTTGTGCCGGCGATCATCTGAAAAATAAATGAAGAGCTCAAAGACAAGAACAAAATAGGAGGCACATGGTTAGCATTCAATATCAGTTTTGTTTTTAAGGCAAAACTAATTACTATAATACAATTTAAAATACAGAAGAATGCAATACATGTATATGCAAACAGCACCCAAATTTCTAAACAAGTTACACCATTGGCCCAACAACAGAATGTTCTTGCATCGGTAATGTTCATCACATTATTTAACCCTTTCGCGGACAACCATAGAAATATGTGGAAATTTGAATTTCTGGAGCCACTACGAGAAAGTATAGACAATTATAAAATAAATTTATTCGTAACTGGTTCTCAAAATTGTACATCATATTGGAGAAAATCACAGATGGAAGAAAATTTAATAAAAAGCAGTCTACGCTAGAAGAAATTGAAATTTTTCGAATTTTTTATTTCAAATACAAATGTAAACTATCAAGCTGCAATTTGATTTAATTTTCACCAGCTGCTTTAAATTAATTAAAGTGATATTATTTCTTCCGAGTTTTTAAAAAAATGCGGAAAAATCGTCAATTCCATCGTCAGAGTCAAAACTTTCATTTAAATGTTCATATTTTAATACCATTGCAAGGGATGAAGTTTTGTATGGATGGATGGGCAGATAATTGGAGATTAGCAGGCATTGGATTTTATTGGGGATTGATAACGCAGCCTCACATCAATCACGTGAAATGCTGGGCTTTTTTTTGGAGGAGATTTAAAGTGACCGTATATGATAACTTGCCCGCGAAAGGGTCAACGTTATTGGGTTAGCGTTTTTGGTTTACTTAATCCTGCGTGAATATTAGAGAAGTAACAGTGAAGATTAAACTCAACGAGATGATAGCAAAAACGTTCAAAAGTAGAGATGTAAGGGCAGTGAGAGACTAAGTCCGGATGGCTCGAAATTGCAAGCTCGAGAAGGATTTCGTTAATTTTGAAAGCTTCGACCGGCTAGTATAGGTGCATATGATCCGTGATGAAGTCCCATTCGATTAGTCTAACCCTAATCCTACATAATTTTTCCGTGACCGGAGTAGTTTTTGCGTTAGAAAAATAACACAATGTATGGAGATAAGCCATCATTATTAGAAATAGCACATGACTTTGAAATACTGGAATTGGGTGCTCGGCAACAGTTATGCTTTCCTTGAACTAATGTGGTTCAATTTGAGTTCCACTCACAGGCCGTCACTGGATGCGGAGCAGCGCCATTACTGGTCGTAACTCCTCGACGTAAGCCACTGTTATTAACACAGCCATTACCAGCAGCAGTGGCAGCACAAGCACGCTGTTGTTGGCACATCTTTTCGTTGTGATGAGGCTTGGGCTGTGGCGAGGAAAATGAGGCGCTCGCCGCACAGTTTGGCAGCGCCACACGCCGGGACACGCCACTCGGGCTCCCAGGATACCTGACAACAGCACGTGTTAAGAACATACACTCTATGTAGACTGCGAATTTGGACTCTACGTACTACTTCCCATGAAAAAAATGTTAAAAACTACGCCTTTTGAATTTGCATTCACTAACGTTCCAAAATAAGGAATTATATACGTAACGTTAAGCCGATTAACAATAAACTCAAGAAAAAGGTGTAAAACTATCACTAAATCCCTTTATTTAAATTGTTACGTACTATCCAAATCTATTGCAGGGTCTAGCAGCGACTTAGTTTCAATTCTGATGATATAATTAACGTTCAACGTCACATACTCAAGAATTACAGATTTTTTCACCAGCAATACGAAGAGGAACAAACCTTGTATGACGATCCGCGTTGACGTTGGGGTTTTGAATCGAACTCTTTGTAACGCTGCCGAGGTAACGAGACTGTACGTGGCGATACTGAGCTTTTAGGGTTGTTTTGGCTCCGTTCTTTGTGGTGGTGGTGGTGGGGATGGTTGCAGTGGTGGAGCTTCTGCCTCCACCGCCTTGGCTGCCGTTGTTAGTTCCATTATGGCTACCATAGCCGCCATAGTAGGAAGTGGTCATTGAAGAATGATTCTCCAAGGAATGATCTATGTTTTGTTGCCTGGATAAATTGCAATTGAGTTAACGGAGCAACGCTGAGCAATTTACACCACGTACAGTCGAAATCATTAACGTTTAAAAAATTCACTAATCCCTATACTTTAATTAAGCATAACAACTGCAATTTCCCATGCACCAAGAGTACAGATAACGTTTTTAAAATATCACTTATTGAGAACAGATAGCAAGACCTCCAATATTTTTGAAGGGTTTCACGAAGAATTTGTTTCATTAATCTTAATGGTAGAGTTAATCAGTGAATTTATCATGTCTCTCCTTAATAATAGTATACTGATCACAAATATAAATAATAATAGTAATACTGATCAAATTTTTTCATTCAAATATGGACATTTTCTTTAATTTAGGAGTGAATTGTGAAAACTGTTCAACTGACCCTTACTTGGGTTGTAGCTGTCGTGAGTCATCATTAGAAGATCCTATAAATGAGTCAAACTGTCAAACATTTACTCACGCACACAGAACACGGCTGTACTCAGGCACACAGAACACGGCTGTACTCAGGCACACAGAACACGGCTGTACTCACGCACACAGAACACGGCTGTACTCACGCACACAAACACGGCTGTACCTCCCCTCATGGACACTCCCCAAAATGCCCTCCCACCACTCACGTGCATTCTCAAAGAATCCCCATTTCATGCATGATCCCCATGAATGCCAGGGGAATTTTCAAGCCCCCGGTAAGGCCATTGCTCTAGAAAAGGACAGAAGGACTCACGGATACTTCCTGGGCGCAGGTATAGTTCTGGGGCTGGGCTGGCTGCAGCTGCGCGCAGTAGACGCCGACTCTCCTGCACTGCTTCTGCTGGCACTCGTGGGGCGGTGGACGGAACGACTCCTGGACGGACAAGTTAACAGTTTTATTTGCTCAAGCAAGAACTTTATTTCATCAGCTATAGAATCGTATTTGCATTTTCCATTAAAGGTTTGGGAGAGGTAATAGGTCTGTTTCAAGTATCGAATTTATCGTATAAGGATAGGTTCGAAGCTTATAATTTTACAGTCCAACATGTAACATTTTATTTGTACAATTTATCCAGCATTCATAAATTTTCCTGCAATTCCACTATTTGAAGTGTCACATTCATGCAACTCGAGGTAGCTCATTAATTCGCATTCAAAATATTCATTAATAGCTCGCCAAATGAATTATGAATAAATTATCATCATCTTGTGTTTGACTTACCTGGAGAGAATAAGTTCACAGAACTGATAATCAAGAAATCACACGTAATTAAATTTTACGAGATAAACTAATAAAGCATATTGTGTGCACTGTGTTATTCATGATGCGTTAATATCCGAAAACCACGTCTTTATATTCAACGTATCCAAAGAGTCAGCTTTGATAAAGACATTTACTTAAACTTCATTAATTCTTTGTCTACTGCTGGAGGGTAGAGCGTGAACGCTATTATTAACCCTAATCGCCTCGGGTTTAGCTAAAATATTATTGAAGCGACACCAAGAATAGATCTCAGATGGAGAGTACTATCTTTACAGATAAGGCTGTGAGACTTGCGGTCAATTGTTTTCTTAGGTTATTAGAAATGAAGGGCATTTTCCCGCGAGCGCGAGGCGATTTGGATTAAATTGCAGTTACTTATTAAATAAATTCCCTTAAGCTTCAAAAATTCTTCATGTTTACTGCTTGACGGTAGAGCGAGGCCGTGGTAGGCGGGGAACTTTGGTCTGAAGGTGGCGCTGGCGGCGAGTTTGGTGCAGGTCGCGCTGGATGAGCTCCACTTGATCCATAAACGACGACGTCAGGAATATGCGCCGCAGCTCTGAACGCGCCACTTGCTCCTGGAGGCGACGGGGTTGCTTACACATTGTTTGCAAGATTTAATGTTATAATGTTTGATACTCAAACAAATGAAAATTGCTAAGCGAGCACCAATTAAATAAAAAAATGAACCCTTTTCAATTTTTGATATTCCGACAGATGAAGATTAGTAACTGGTCATTAGATTATATAAAAAACTGAATGCTTTTTAGATGTCAAAATAGTTCAATTTATAGGTACCAATAATGCACGTAAATAAATCAACATTAGATTTTGGAATCTTTAAAATAGTTTCAGCTAATGACAAAAAACTGAGAACAGCCTTTATGATGTCCGTCAAAACACGAAACTCGGTTCATAACCATCAAGATCAAGCGCTACCAAGATATTACATGACATACCTGCTGATAGAGAGCGCGGTGGAAGTCTATATCGCCTTTGTTGATGTTGTCGGCGAGGATATCCCTGTGGAACTGAGCTGCAAGTTTGTTAACTTCCTCGAGAGTAGCGATATGTTGCTGCACAGCACCACATCGCAGCAGGCGCCGTACGTGGCGACCGCGCACAACTGCCTGTAGCAACGTCACGCCCCTCACCGCGCTAGAGACGCTCCTCCTGCGGCCGATGGCTGCGGGTGCCTCCCGACCATCGACTGTCGAATCCTGATGGTGGTTGGGAAACGTGAGTGTGAGGTATTTATTACGTTTATTGATCCGAAATATCTAGTATGAAAGGTTGTTTATGAAATGTACCATTCATACAAGCGGTTAGAGTTGTCTGTGCGAGATCAAGGGATGAGATGCAGCTGAGTTATAATGATACATTCATACGATACATCAATAACTTAGATCAAGTATCTTTTACCAACAAAAAGAGTGTAGACTAATTTGTTAATCAAGATTTAAATTATCATTATCCAATCTACTCTTGATTAGCAACTCACCCTAAAGTCAGAACGCTGAGTCGGCAAGAAAGTTTCGATGGTGAGTTTGGTGACTGTGGCACTTCGAGGCAGCGAGGAGGCATGAACTCCAGTCTCAGAGATGAGGCTCGAATGCAGGCTGTTGAAGAGGTCAGAGTTGGTGAGGCTGGCCGATAGCTCAGCCATGTCTTCGTGGGGTGTGATGGGGGCCAGTTTAGAAGTGGCACTCGTGATGGGAGGAGCGTTGAGCATCTTCTCTTTGATGACAGTAGGTGAGCTCTTCTTAGAGTGCGCTGCCTGCTTCTCGTTCATTACTTGCTTGACGAGTTTGGATTGGCTGGTGCTGAGACCAGAGGGGTCATTGGTAGGTAGTGGCAGACCCTCGACATCGTCAGCGGTAACAGACCGGGATACGCTGGGCGCAGCGGGTCTAGCTGTGCTGGGCGCAGAACACAGCGGTGACGCAGCCTTCTGCGGAGGTGACGGGATTTTCTTCGATGGAAACTGCAGGAAAAGTTTATTAAGATGCCCTGGCGTGGTGGCATTAACTGCGTGGGCAGGATTGTGGAGGTAGAACGATGTTGGAGATTTGCTGGCCAAATTCTTGTAGCTGTCTGACGGCGTAGACTGCGAGGCCGTGACAGAGCTGCTGGCGTAGCTATCCTCGCACGGAGACGAAGATTCGTTATTTGGAGGGGAAACCTGAAGAGCAGTGGGAGCAACGCTGTCTACTATATTCGGGGACTTGCTTCCTTCGACTTCCGACGACCTGGTGGAGACCCGAGACCCTTGGACAGAGCTCACCTGTGCGCTGACAATGTGTTGCAGCTGAGCAGGCGTGAGCTTCTGCAGGTGCTGCATAAACTGTTGCATTTCCTCGTGTTGCTTAGCAACCAGCTGCTCCCTCTCGTGATGATGCTGAACGCGTAGCAGCTGCAGCAGGGCGTTGATCTGGTGCTGCCGGCTAGAACATTTACCCAGCACCCCAGGCGGACCATTCCCAGTTACCGGTGAATAGAAGCTGCCACTTGGAGTGGTTGGTGTGCTGTGACGGTGCGGCGAACTCATAGGCGTCGTGACACGAGATCCTTGCTGAGGGTAGAAGCAGGCCCCGCCGGTGGTGGGTGTGGTGGCAGAGAAGGAACCAGAGCCTCTGGCCGGACTACTGGGAGTGTTCGGCTTGCTGCTGCTACTATTGCTAGTTGAATGGACAGGCTGAGCGGTAGCAGGAAACGAAGAGGAGCTGTTACAAGAGGGGGGACAAAACTGACCTCCAGCAGGAGATATTGCTTGAACGTCATCAGCAACCCCAGATGATGGAGTTTTATGTGAAGTTCCTGACAAGAATGAGGTTGTTTCTACCGAAGGTTTATTCGCTGTGGTGGTCGCAATGGGTTGAGGGGCGGTCACAGCAACAGGACGTTGAGGAGGAGCAGTTGATGGACGATTGGTAGACGTAGTTGAAGATAGCAAGTCAACTTCCACTTCACTGGTATGGCAATCACGGTTTACAGAAGAACCATCTTCAGGCGATGGATTTTCTAACACTGAATATGAATCTTGAGAAGCAAGATTGTTTTCCTGATTGTCGGACTTGACGGAATCGGCCGCGCTCTCTGGTGAGAGTTTACTGGAATTTTCGGTGAGTGTGGCATGGTTTTCCTCGCTGCCGTTGTCACTGAGCGGACTTGCATTGCACTTGCTATCATTCAGTGGCTCAGAAGCACCATATTCTGCAACCTTCTCTTCGACTTGTTCATTTCCCAACTGATGAACTCTATCTACCACGTCGGACCTGCTAGAATCAACATCATGGAATTCACTTTTCTCGATTTTGGTGATGTGAGCAGCACTCTCGACCTCATTTTCCACATCATTATCGGCACTCGCTTCTTCTGCCTCTCCCTCCTCAATGATGAGGTCATCTCGACACATGTCACTAGCCGTCATCTCAGAGTCTGCGGTATCATCAGCAAGAGACGCTGAAGTGCCACAAACACTGGCGGCGCTCACGAGGCTCATGTCGGGGGTGCTCGCTGCAGAAGTGCAGTGTGGCAGATCGAAACTCACACTTCGGCCATGCGGAATTATTAAAGCCCCATCGCCATCCTCAGTTTCTGGCACATTTTCGTCAGCTTCAGCCTCGTAATCATCAGTTGCAATAGTGGCTGCATTACAGTTGCTATCAATAGAAAGCTTGCGTAGGCTAGACAGCGAGCCGAGGCTAGAGTCCAAACTGTCTTGAATTAACTCCTTTGCCGCATAGCTGGTTTCAGATTTCAAGTTCTTCATGTTGTTGAATATGGTGTTGTTGTTCACTAAGTTATCTTCCAATGACGAATATTCCTTTTTATTAGGATTCACCAAAAATTGTTTACACGTCGTAGATAACGGCAATGAACTGTTAAGGGTTTCATGTGCGGGAACTTGATCCATGTTAGTTTTGGTAACCTGTGACGTCGTTCTCGTGAGATCCGCCTCGCTGCGAATCATGACAATGGTACTGGGCTGCGTACAGCAACTCGATTCGTCAGAGGCATTAGATGTGCAACTCTGGTCGTCTCTTACGCTCACAGGTCCACCAATCACGAAATTCACGGCAGGATCTACTTGTCCTCTTACGATATCGCTGCGTGTCTCAGAAATAGTGTTGTTTATTGCGACTAGATTACTCACATTCTCTTCATTGCATTCATTTTCAAACGGAATATCGGGGAAGTTTTCAGATATAGTGACTTCTTCCTCATCAAGGCCGCTTGTGGGCATACCAGATCCAGGGGTTCCATGTGTTATGACGCCCGATGTGTCGGTGCGACACGGTACGTCCGTCTCTAACGAATCTACAGTAAAGCTTTGCTCAGTTTCTGCTACCGCGGGAGCAGCATCAGACAATCGATTGATGGACAGCGTCGACTGGGAAGACAAAGCCTTAGTAGCAATATCTGTGCCCATGCCACTCTCAGTGCCAAAGGACGGTGAGTACGAGACATCGTCCATGGTGCCGATCACAGAGCTATGTCCAGTGGCGTCGATAGGAGAGTCACTGGGTCTACCTTCAGACGTGGTATCTTGAATATCCGTCGCAGAACAAGGAGAACTCGTCTCCACATCCCTGATATCCTTTATTTGGACTTCTCGACGTTTTAAATTCGTGACGCCTTCAGTGAACGATCGAGACATGAACAAAGGTTCTCCCTGAAGCGGCTCCCGTTTGTAAAAAACTTCTGGATAAATATAAACTCGTTTTGGCGCGTACACAGTCGGCTGTGCGGGAGTGGAAGGCGCATAATTCACCCATGAACTCTGGGTGAGATTGCCCAAATAACTATCCAAATAATTACTACCAACGCTTCTCCCATTTGCATCACCTTTGCTTCTTCTACTCTTAGCTTCCATGAGCCATTTAGGCAGCTCTTCACCAGCAGGACTATCGAGAACATTCCCTGGCGACATGTCGTTCAAATCATTAACTTCGTCCTCGACAGTAACAGCTGGGCAACATTCACAGTTGTCTTCTGGAACGTCGATTTTAGTCTGACATGAATGGTCTTGACGATCATGAGAAACATGGTCTTCATTATCATTCTTGGATGAAGTATTTCGGACAGACGGCGACCAAGACTGACTCATAAATTGTGCCCTAGAAGGTGGTGGTGGGAGAGCTTGACCAGTGAGCTGTAGAAGATAATCATCCAGGACGTGCTGGGACGGAGCACTGGAAGGTGCAGGGATATCTTCTGTGGCAGGCTCCATTATGGGCTGGACTGAGTCAGTGCAGTCACTGCTTCTCATCACAGTTGAGGACAATGAGTTTACTGAATGCGGAAGTGATTGACGTCTCACAGATGACAGCTCATCTTCCCCACAGCTGCGGCTCATTGCCTGGGTAAACAGCACAAGACATTAAACTTTCTGAAGCTTAACTCGAAAATTAAAAGTCATCAAGCATAAATGAAGAGGACAAAATTTACCTATACATACAATTTCGCCAAGATAAAGATAAAAACAATTCAGCATTAAGAAAGATCAGACCTAGGGAATGTACTTCAGGCATTATTAGACCACATGTACATACTATATAGTCCAGAATAAACTTGAAACGATTGAGATATTTTAACTAGAACAATATGCGCACTTACAAGCTGAAAGCTATTACTGTAGCCTCTGGCTCTGAGCCTTTGTTCCTGAAGCTGCTGGAGTCGCAACTGTTCTTTCTGCCTCTGCTGCAACAAAAGTTTGGGCTGTTCCTCTTGCAGCTGGTATTTAGCAGGATGTTGTTGCTGATACTGAGAAGCATCAGCAGGCTGATGTTGGTTTACATTTAGATGATGAGGACTCAACATCAGGCCAGATTTACATCTATTGTAAGCACTAATACTTGACTTGTGACATTTCTTCTCAGTAAATTCACTCTCTGGAGAAGAAATAGTTACTTGTGGTCTTGATAACCACCTTGTGTCATACTTCTTGAAGGAGAAATTTTTAACACGTGATGAAATTGTTGGAAGTTCTGGTGCATGTCTTGCTTGTTGACAAGTGTACTTGCAGCTTCTTTGACTAGGATAAGTTGGATCATTGAGCAAAACATCAACAGCTGCTGCACAGCTCAATGATAGCAGCCATTCATCTTCTCTCTTTTCCTGAAAAAAATACATTATTAGAAGTACATATTTTGAAAATATTTTCTCATTTTAAATGCCTTTTGTCAGCATTGGGAACAAATGAACAGAACATCCACATCCACAAAAATTGATCCACAAATTGTTAGTAACTTAAAGCTTACTAATCAATAATTACAAATTTATTTTAAATACTCAATTTATGCAATGACAAAACATATCATGCATGCATGCAATGTGGTCTACAATAAATTAAATTAGAATATAAATTCTTGATTATCAAGCATGATTAACAATTCTGATCCATATTTTCTTAGAATATTTCCAGGATAAAAATCTTGATTATTAGTTTTATTGCAAGCAGATAAACAGGAGCTATTCAGAAAGTTGTTTTGATTTTAATTTGTAGCTGCAAGGGTGAGGAAATCATGGCCAATTCAAGGTTTGTGCACACTCAGTTATTTGGCACCTATCCCTGCTAGTGAGAGGGTTGTAGATCATTCTTTATTTTCAAGCTTTTCATGTGAGCTACAATTGAAAAAGCACCAAGTGTGAGGAATGATATGTGATGAGGTTTTGTTGGCAAGCAACTTTAAACCAATAGAAATTTATTGGGAACTTGGTGCAGTATATGTCCATGATACTTTCACTGATGGTGGAATTTGTCTACACTCTACACTCTTTTCTTGAGATGAAACAGTGACTTGGACCATTGATGGAGTGACTTGGACTATTTTGACATTTAAGAAAAGTAAGCCCTTTACTCAAAAATATCTTACCTTGGAAAAATTGTGTTGATGGCTCTTCAAGTGCCATGAGATAACCGACAAATGCAATAAATAGATATATTTTCTATTATTTACTATGCAACTATTTGTATCACAAAATGTTAAGGACTAAAAATGGTCCAAGTCACCCGTTAATGGTCCAAGTCACCCGTTAATGGTCCAAGTCACCCGTTAATGGTCCAAGTCACCCGTTAATGGTCCAAGTCACCTATTAATGATCCAAGTCACCCGTTAATGATCCAAGTCACCCGTTAATGGTCCAAGTCACCTTCAATGGTCCAAGTCACCCATCAATGGTCCAAGTCACCCATTAATGGTCCAAGTCACCCATTAATGATCCAAGTCACCCGTTAAATGGTAAATCACCCATTAATGATCCAAGTCACCCGTTAATGGTCCAAGTCACCCCATCAATGGTCCAAGTCACCCAGTTAATGGTCCAAGTCACCCTATTTTACAGTAGTACCATGTTTAGACAAGGACAGTGAACTGCAGGCAGGACGGACCAAATTAGATAATGTCTTGGGCACTCTAATTTTCTGAAGAAGGAAATTCAAAAATTTTCATGGCTATGGATTCTCGCATTGTTTTTGGACTATGTAGAAAAATAATCTTAGTGCTTATTCTGATCTTTCAAATGAAAGCAGTAAATTTTGTTTTCCATAATTTTCTTAAATTCCAAAAAAGAATCTTCTTTCTAAATATCCCTTGTCTAACTGCAAGCAATGTCATAGTTTTATCAATGGCATGCCAAATCATGCACCACAATTTGACTCAATGTCAGTAAAGAAAATTGATTCTTGGGGCAAATAAATGAAGCACCAATGTGGCACATTAGAAATGTTGTTCAAACACTTCACCTTCTTGAAGAGGAGATAAAATGATCCAAATGCAGTTGTAAATACAATTATACAATATAGGTAGGTACATACATAGGCTAATTAGTATTTACATAGTTAGCTACAAACAAAGTAGAGTAGTACTAGTAACACATGTTATTGGCTGGCGTTTTTTGTTAGAATGTGAATGGAAATGTGATTAGTGTTTTTCAATTTACAATGAAAAACTGACAATTATAGCTTAAAAGCCAAATTTTGAATTATTTCCAGAATAATCAGAATCCTACTCCCAGCAGTTTATTGAAATGCTTGCTAAGAAAATTGTCTTTTACTTGAGTAGTATGTACATTTCATAGCTAAGCTACATTGATTGTACTCGTACTGAGATCTTGGAAAACACAGAATAACAATATGTTGTAAAAAATGCTTTTGTTTGCTAGCACAACAAGCAGACCACATATATACCTTTTTCCTTTCCTTGTCAGCTCTGAAGATCCTGTCCTTTAGCTGAATGAGTGCAGTCACAATTGAGATACATTGTGAGAGGAGAACATTTAATGATATAGACAATCTATGTATATAAATATCAAGTAAATATTTTTGTTTCCATGCAAGATCACTTCTAAATACTGATAACAAAGTAAAGTCTTGCTCATTTGAAAAAGATATAGGTTTATTGGGCAAATTTTGTTACAACTACAAAAATCCTGACTACCGTCAACCGGGGCTACTCAGGACGGGCGGGGTAACTCGGGACAGTCCTCCGACACGGCATAAAACTGTAAAACTGTTTTAATAGCAAAACTAATTGGAATATTGCAAAACTAAATATAGTGGCTTAAATGTCAACATTTTTCCTATCTATGTAGTATAAAGGAAGTTCAAAAATGCTACATTTACTAGCTTTGAAAAATTCCTGAAAAAAATGGTGAAAAACAATATTTTGAAAAGTTATAGTATATACTTCTGCTAAGGTCTGTAGTAAAAAAATATTTGCCATATTAAAAAATTTTGCTTAGAAAAAAGTGGCAGACAAGTGTCAGCATGAAAACTTTATTTGCGGAATTTACATCCCTCAATCCAAAAAAAAATGGCGGCCATTTCCGCACGGCGGGTTACTCGGGACACCCCCCCAGGGCTACTCGGGACACCCCCAAAAATGTATTTGCAGTAGAACCTCAGCAAAGGCTCCAGTTAAAAGAAAAATTGATTAAAAACAAAGAATATTGATTACATTTACCTCGCTCAGCAAAAAAAAATTTACTTATCGAAAATTTAGTGCATCATCGGTCAACACAAAATTGTGCATAGAATGTCATATATAGAATTGTGCACCAGGCATCATAGAATGAAAAGTAATTGACCTAAACTATGATTTATTTCTCCAAAACATATGATGGTTGTCACTGTACTCTGACAGGCTTTAAATAATAGCTTTTTTTCATGGGTCACATTTTTAATTTTTTAACCTATTAGATATGCAAACTTTTTAAATCTTTCTATTGTGTTACGTAGCCTCAGTATTAGGCCTTTAATGCCCATTGACAGAATTTTTCTATGTCAATTCGTTTTTGAGTTTTGGGGGTTTTTGTTAAAAAAACGAAAAGTGGTCTAAGTTACCCCGGGAGTCTAAGTTACCCCAGTCTATGGTACATATAATACACATCAGATAGCATTACCTATATATATATGGCAGAACTATAATTTGTAGAGTTTAATAACAGCATGATGACTACATAGTTGTTTTGATTGCACTAAAAAGATATGGTTGTAATAATGGTTCAGTTCTGTTTATAAGATTGTTTCTATTGAATGCTTGTATGCTGGCAACATAAGTGATGACTGATGCACAAGACATTATTGGCATCATGGCATGGCCTGCAGAGCCTGCTTGCCATTTTTGGAGCTGCTAGTTTCTTCTTTAATCCTTAATGAATTTTCCATTTTCTAATTATTAACAAAATACATGAATAAGCTGTGCTGAGACCAAAATAATATGCATTCAAGAAGTAATTTTTCAAGACCACACTGCAAAAGAAGCCAGTGTCTCTGATATTACACATGTAAAATGAATTCTATAATTTACTTTTATATATCATTTTAAAAAAATTATTTTTTAATTGCAGTGCCTCTGATATTAAATAGTACCGGTATGTAAAATTAATTCCATAATTTATTTTCAAATACTATTTAAAAACAAATATTTTTCAACTCATTAAATTATTTTTTATATTCTGACAATTAATTCATGCATTGTCTCAAACTTTACGCAAGCATGCAAAATTTCAGATTGATTGAACAGGTAGGAGTGTGTTAAATATTGATTCTAAGATTTGTAGCAGACACTGAGACAGACAATACAAACATTCTAAGTTAAAGACAAGTGAAATAAAATTATTGAAAATGTCACTTTAGTTTTGAGCTAGGGTAAACGCGGTATATTCCAACATCGTGGGTAATCATGGTGGTTTTTGAGCAAATCCTTGGGCATTTAGCCCCAGCACTCCAGCAGGCACTCCGCAGGCACTGTGGCGCTCCGAAGCAGAAAAAAACCTAGATCTAGGTTTTTTGCTTCCCACTAGGTTTCTAGGTTTTTCATTAACAAACTGATCCTAATCTAATTTTTTTCAGAACGGTGCACTGAAAGCAGAAATCAGTCAACAGTTATAGCCAAGAAAGGGAGAACTGCTACGAGACTTACGCGATGGAGCCATTTACAGGAGATATGAAAGTAGATTACTGGATGCAACTATTCAGGAATGATCACGATTCACGAATAAATATTTCTTACTAAGTTAGTAAAGTTACTATGCTCATAAAATGACAACTAGCTTAGTCAGTTATCACCTGTCTCTTATACACATCTAGATGTGTATAAGAGACAGATGTGAAACGTGCCATAGGTAATGTTTAAATAATTTCTTATGAATTTTAATAATAGACATCGGCTTTTATACAAGTATTTTCTAATTTTACTGAGTATTTCAGTTTAAAACTTGTACAAACAATCGTGAAGTGCAATACAGCTCGCCATTGTACCTGTCAACAAAACATTTACAAATTAAAAGCAAAAAGCGGTAAATTTTACGAAGAAATACATGTAACTGAGGTCATAATTATTATTAGCAAAAGTTTTTCTGTGCATACCAGTGTATGTTTAAAGAAGAATGTTGCTTTTATTAATTTATAAATGATCTTGAAGATTAGAGTCATTTCACATTCTGAAGACTGTGTTTCCACTCCAAGACTATTTTGTATTGCTAGAGCACAATCTTCATTGCGCAGCTGGCAGCTGCACTGCCGCAGGCAGTGTTATCTAGACTGTCAGCATGGGAGGTTGTCTGCCGGAGGCTGCGAGCCGCTCCTCTAATTTAAGGTTGGCGTTCACAAAACTCAAATTACTAAGGTAATTTAAAATTGATATGTAATTGCACCATGTGGGTAATTCCGACACTTCTCGACTTTTTTCCTTTATATTAAGCTTTTTCTTAGTTCCATGCATTTGTTGATGGTTGAACCGTTGAAATAGTGATGTCATACTTTTGCGTGCCATACTATTGCCAAAACACTAGGTCTGGGCTGTCTGGCGGGAAAATGTTAAGATCCAAAGAGAGACAGTGCGCATCACCCAGTAAGAACATCAAAAAATGTGTCAAAGTTGATAGTTGACCTTGCTCTACCAAATAGTGATAAACTGTTTGTGTAGAAAGAATATTATGGTTTGAGACTTTTAAATACATCTGTGAATATATTAGGAATCCTTTAAGTATACTTGTATTTGCTGATTTCAAGTGGTAAAAAAATTAATAGATTGATTAAGTTAAGAGACGGTTTTAGGCACATAAAAACTAATTCGGACACAGCTTGGAATTAGACACACACAGCTCGTTCCAAGCTCAGGCAAGCTGTGAGCAAAAATTAAAATTTTCTTAATTAAAAGCTTAATAGCTCTTAATTAAAAGCATAATTAAGTAGTGTTCAATATTCAATAGTGTTCTAATTCCAAGCTGTGTCGTATTACAATACAGCTCACACACCACACAGCAATCGGAATTCGAACACAAGAGTGTCGGCATTACAAATTACTAGTAGTTTGAAGCAGTGTGGAATTCTGTATAGGTAATATATTCTCATGTCAATATAAGAAAACGTATCAAAATACCAACCCTACCACCACGTTACACCACCTTCCACGGCAATGAAAATTGATGAACTGAGCACATTTGAAACAGCTGTGCTTCCAAAATCGTGCGTGGTTTGAAATCCAATCCCATGTTGCCAACGACTAATCAAGTTAACTAGTCGTTTATCTGTAGGCTAGCGAACACATTTTTGCAATGAATACGTTCTAAAATAAAAAAAAACACATCCAGCTTTGTAAAAAATTCTCACGATTGGACAACACCCACAAAGTTTTCGATTTCACACAAAATTATGAGATAAACTTCGACTCTTTCACTGCGTACATTCACATGGTGTTTTCTGTTTACGTATCACAAGACGGTGTCACACACTTATGTTTTGGTTGTGTCTAGTTTGATTTCACAATAAATAGACTTGATTCACATTCCATTCTGAGATTTAAATGATTGAAAGTTTTTTTTTAAATTATAAAAACCTATTTATACGTTCCAGATTTGAATTTTTTGCCCTATTATGTTGAATTTATGTTGATCAATTCACTTCAAATTCTGAATGATTTCGTCAGCCATACCGCGTTTTCGAATGTTTTGTGTCTTTTAGAAAATTTTCGTTGTTTAACATGGGAAACTATTTCATTATATAAAACATAGAGCACGTACCATATAGTGCATTAATAATACAATTTGATTCAATAAAAATTAATTTTTAATATAAAAAATATAATCAGATTTTTAATTCAACATTTTTCTAATAGAATTTAATTCTACAGCATGTACCATCTAGTGTGTAATAATAAATTTTGATTTAGTAAAATTTAATTTTATATAATTTTTTAATTTAATTTAATTCTACAGCTTTAACCAGTAAAAATGAGCATCATAGGAATCAAAGTAAAACTGTCGTTCATACATCACAAATTGAATGACATTGGATGGATTTGATAGATATTTTATTAATCCTGTTTATATATAAGAACGGAAATGACGCTTCTATTTCAGAATGATAATGGAAATGTTTCTACTATTTCAGAAACTTTTCTTGAATACACTTCCAAAAACTAAAGTTCTGTAATCAATGGAGTCTTTGAAATGAAAAAATCATTAAATTTAAAATTGTTAGCTATAAGAGTAAGATTGTCATTTGTCAATATGAGGAGCATTCATTCGTCATTCCTGAGGAGCTGTAAGAAAAAATTTGTTTTTTTTTTATGTAAAAGGATGTTTTTCAATTAAAAGAAATGCAATAATTGATTTTTGGAAATACGATGTTAAAATTAACGATCCGTATTAGAATTCATAGAATTCAATAGACGTTACGACTTACAATTTCAGAATTATCTTCAAAAAGTTTGTTGTCGTTTGTTTGATCAGAAGTTTTCGTTCATTTGATCAGAAGTTTTCATTCGTTTGATCAGAAGTTTTCGTTCGTTTGATCAGAAGTTTTCGTTTGTTTGATCAGAGACAGTAAAAGTTTTTGTTCGTTTGATCAGAAACAACATAATTATTCATTCTCTTGCACTAAGTATACGAATGATTAGTTAATTCGTAATTCGTATACGAATTAAGTATACGATTGATCAACCCGCTAGAAATGCACCGGGAGCGGGAAATATGCTAGTAGGTACCTATTTAATTCAGTTGCATGCTGGCCCACGTGATATATAGTTCTGTTCGTCTGAACTCTGAATTGCGTGTTCAGTGTGCATGATGTTTAGTATGCGTGTGTGTGAAACTATGCTTTGCAGCGTAGTTATAATTACTTAATGAACTTTAGTTCATTGCAGATTTGCAGTCAACTCAAGAGACAAATTTTCAACTAACTACTACTTTTTATAAGTCTAATTTTAATTGTTGAGTGAAAGGTGCAGACTTGCACCTTCCAAGTGATTAGGTACTTTATAGAAATTGAGCAAGTTAGCGTACGTGTTTTAAGCCTTTAAGAAGTTAATTTTTTGCCTAAAATAACGATGTTGGATAAAAAAAGTGGTCTTGGTGGATCGAAATAATATATGAACCTTCGAAATTAGAATTCCATCCTGGTTTGAAGCGCGCCCGTACGGTGTATTTTTTATAGCCATTCACTTTTTGTTACGTCCTTAAATTTAAAGTGTCGGAATATAGAGCGTTTACCCTAAAAATTTCAGTAATAAGTAAGAATTTTTCAATCTTGACCTAGAGTGATAATAGTGTTATAGTGATTATGGCAACTGATACCAATACCATACCAGTCTGAGTGAGTCTGGAATATTGACTAGGTAGCCTATTGAATTGAGGCTTGGGCAAAACGTTCATTAAATCATGACTTGTGAAGTTGTGAGACTTGTGAGAAAAACTATTGGGTAATTTACAGGTAATGGCCCTAATGGGTATACAAAAACACCTATACTTAATACTACTATACCAGCTACTGGAAATGACAATAACCTTGACAGCAGCACTAAAGTTGCCAGGTTTCAATAGAAACAAGTAGGTAATTTTATAAATGGTATAAACCAAACTTAACAACACCTTCCTTAGGCTTCCTAGCGGCTAGCAGTGCTAGCGCGGAGCGCCTAGCACAGCTAAAATTTTCAGACAACAGATACTATTTCTGATTGTCTGCAATTATGCAATAGTATTTTAGTTATGTAGAAGTAAACCCTACAAATTTTAGTTCTGACCAGCGATTCAGGCTTATCCAGCAGACCGAGCACTACTCAGTACCTACTTAACTTACCACAGGAGGCAAAATTGGCTTGCCAAGGAAGTGGATGAAAGACATGATGTCGATGAGAGTTTGAAACAAAAAGGCATTTTAGACCAGCCGACGACCACAATTTTAGGTGCCATAATACTAAGTGAACATAAAATTTTGTATTATCGTATATAATAATAGCCTATGTTAATATAGAACTTAGAAGAGACACACTGCAAAGACCGACATTCAAGACGAAACCTAAACGGAATGTGCACGTATTCGTTCCAAAATATTCCGATTTCAATCCTAGCATTTGTTCCCGGAATTCCAAAGTTCGCATTTGCAGTTTCTCTTCATAATTTTAAAAGGCAATAAAATCAATGTTTTTGATTTTTAACACTATTGTAGTTTAAAATTTTCGGGACTTTATTTTAACAATCGAAAAAAGTATTATTTTTTCTGCACGCAATTTGACACATTTGTGAGTTCGTGACCGATTCGTTTTATATTTTATTGCCTTTTAAAATTATGAAGAGAAACTGCAAATGCGAACTTTGGAATTCCGGGAACAAATGCTAGGATTGAAATCGGAATATTTTACGTCTCGGACAAAAACGCGGCCTCTCTCACGGCCGGTCTCGCGGCCGTGATTCCAAATTCAGTGAGCGTGGAATATCTCGCAAAATACTGAACGTAGCTTGATGAAACTTGGTACACATAATCATTAGAGCCTAACGGTGATGTTTAGCTCGTGACAATTTTTCAATACTCGCGAACGAAGGCAAAAGTGAAAAAAATATCAAGAGCTAAACATCACCGTCGGGTATTGAGAAATTTATATTCAAAATTTAATTCAAATCTGTACAGTACTTTAGAAGAAATGTCACGCTCACTGCAATTTTCACCACGTATATTCATATAACTCAGGAATGAAGGCGAATTTTGAAAAATTGTCACGAGTTAAGCATCACCGTTAGGCTCTAATGATTATGTGTACCAAGTTTCATCAAGCTACGTTCAGTATTTTGCGAGATATTCCACGCTCACTGAATTTGGAATCACGGCCGCGAGACCGGCCGTGAGAGAGGCCGCGTTTTTGTCCGAGACGTGAATATTTTGGAACGAATACGTGCACATTCCGTTTAGGTTTCGTCTTGAATGTCGGTCTTTGCAGTGTGTCTCTTCTAAGTTCTATATTAAGAGTTCGTGTGGTGAGATAGGTCAATTGACTACAGCTGCTTAGGTGCCAGGATGACAATATCTATAGTATTTAGATGGTTGATGTTGGCTCCAGGGCTGATTTGAGCGTTAATTTGCTGGTCTACGGCTGCGCACCCTTTGTGAGTACATTCATGTCCATTTCAGCCAGATCAGACACTATCCAAACCCAAATATCCTAAATCAACGTCCAAAAATTATTTGTCCAAAAAAATTTACACCTACGTAGAGCTTTCCGGCTGCTTTAAAATCAAAATGCATTTATATACGTCAGTAAGACTGATTCGGCAATAAAGGGAATAAATGTTTTGTAAAAATTTTACATATGCAAATAAACTTCTGATCTTTCTTAGTCCGAATCTCAAGTTAAAATCATATAGAATGGCTGATTTAAATCGCTTGCGTACACTTGCCATCAGTAACGAAATGCAATGATAATGTTAAGTTTCTCAAGCTCTTTTCACACAAAATGTCAAGTAGCATTGCTACAACAGTTTTGCACTGCTTATATAGCTCCTATTGTCAGTGCGTTCTAACAGAGTCGTGTTGCGGGGTTATCTTGCCCTACCAAATTATACAACGTCAATGGGTTAACCCATGGTTGGAATTTGTATGTATTATTTCAACCACGGGTTAACCTGCCTCCCCGGGACCAGGTTAACCCGCCTGACTGAGTTTAATATTGTTTTAAAGTATTATTTTTAGTAAAATTAACTATAAATTATTTACACTATTATATATAGATATTTTAATTATTATTAAAATTGTTATTATTTAAAAAATTGCTAAGAATTATTATTAATAATTAATCATAATTCAAATTATTCGTTTGAATTTTTATTTTCTAGTTATTAGTTGATCCACCGACTTGAACTGCTTCACTGTTTTAACCTGTCCAACAGTTTAACTTGCCTCACCTTGTAACTTGCCTCACTGTGTTAACCCGCCTCACCGTTTAACTTGCCTTACTGTGTTAACCCGCCTCACCGTTTAACCTGCCTCACCGTTTAACTTGCCTCACTGTGTTAACCCGCCTCACCGTTTAACCTGCCTCACCGTTTAACCTGCCTCTCACCGTTTAATCTGCCTCACCGTTTAACCTGCCTCACCGTTTAACCTGCCTCACCGTTTAACATGCCTCACCGTTTAACCTGCCTCACCGTTTAACCTGCCTCACCGTTTAACCTGCCTCACCGTTTAACCTGCTTCACCGTTTAACATGCCTAACCGTTTAACCTGCCTCACCGTTTAACCTGATTCACCGTTTAACTTGTCTCGTGATTTAACCTGCCTCACCGTTTAACATGCCTCACCGTTTAACCTGCCTCACCGTTTAACATGCCTCACCGTTTAATCTGCCTCACCGATTAACCTACCTTACCGTTTAACCAGCCTTACCGTTCAACCTACCTTACTGTTTAACCTACCTTACCGTTTAACCTGCCTTCCCGTTTAACCTGCCTCACCGTTTAACCTGCCTTACCGTTTAATCCGCCTCACCGCATTGACCTGCTACACCAGATTAACCTGCTACACCGGACTAACCTCTCACACTGTATTGGTCCCTGTATAACACTGACCGGCCTATAGAGTAGCTGAGGGTAACGAATATATTTGACAGTTCATTATCCGTTCACCACCGAATACACGTGATATTCTTAACCTTAAGCCTGAGATACCCAGCGTGACAGTCGGAGCGAGATTGCTCGATATGAGGTGCTAGCAATTCTGGACACTGAACTAACCCTACACTGGTTTACCTGCTACAATGCTTTACCTTGAAAGAACGCGTTAACATTTAAGCTAGGTTCATCTTACTAAAACAGGTTAAGCTGGCTGCATCACTGTGTCAACCTGTTATACCCGGTTACTTTGCTTCAACAGGTTGAACTGCTACACCGCATTTACCTGTAAAACCATAGTTAATATGTTTTCACGGATTTATTTGCTACATTGGCTTAAACTACTACAACGGGCAACTTGTTACAATTGATTATCTAGCTATACCGGTTAACATGTAACACTTGGTTTAACTCATATACCAGATTAACCTCCAGCACCAGGTTAGTTTGTTACAATGGGTTAACTCGCTAAATTAGTTAAGCAGCTCCACCGGGTTAACCCGCTACTCCAGTTTAACCTGCTACACCGGGCTATTATGCTATACCAGGTTAACCAGCTTTTCCAGTTTAACCTGCTACACCAGGCTAACCCGCTACTCCAGTTTAACACTCCTACACCGGGTTAACTTGCTATAATGCTTGGTCAGCCTGCGAAGCTATCGTGCTATATTCTTCATGCACACATAACCGTTTGAGTGAGGCTACATTACCTTGCTGCAGGTCAATATATGTAAAACTACTGCAGGTTAGTTATACATTAGTTATATACATGTCAACAATTACTAAAATATACGCAAAAATCTGATGCTAACGACTTGACTTTGCCGTTTTCACTGTCATCAATGCTGGTCTTCTTACATGACTGCTCTCGATGACACGATTACTAGGCGTCAGTTAGGAACTAAGTAATACATATAATATAAATACTTATTACTTATGATAATAGCAAACAACTGTAGAGCTCCAAATTCTCTTTGCGAGTAAGGCAGATTTAATTAAACCTGAAACCGAATTCAATAAAAATGCTTTAATTTAATCAATAATTTACTTAAATCGTAAATTCTTCAAGAATTGGCGACCAAAGAAATTGCCAAGCAATTTCGTCATAATTTTATTGAAAACATTTTCAATCGAATTATGATTATTTGTTTGAAATTTTCTCCCCTGATAAATTCTCTGTGAATCAAGATCGAAGATCAAAACTTGAAGCAGGTGACTGAACAAGTGAGCAGTCAGCGTCGGTGTGAGGACTGCTATAAAGCTGAGATAATGGATGGGGCGGTAAAACTTGGGCATATTTTTACGCTTGAAGCTCATGACAAGCGAGAGACGGAAGAGGGCATTCTGAAAAGAAGTACACCCTACTTAAGATACGTCTCATTCTGAAAAGAAGTACACCCTACTTAAGATACGTCGCCGACGTAAAACTATCGAGACCATCACCTCTCAGAGGACATTGGCCTGTGGAGTATCGAGAGTCAAGATGACTTATGGTATCACATAGACGACGATCGCACAAAAATTCGTGAGGTCTCAAGTAGTGAGCGATGAAAATTTTGAGGTAGAATGTGTAAATTATTTCTTTTTCATTTTAACTTCAAATGTGCCAAGATGAAAATGAGATGAAACTTTGCAATGAAATTCTGCAAGTTAAATTATAAACAAGTTACAGAAACCATTATTTACTTCAGCCAATATAAAAATTAAATTGTATTGCGTAAAGTTTAAAGACATTATAGCTTGGAAAACTTAAATTCATGTGCGGTCACCTCTGAGGCGACCATCGCTCCATACGCATCGTTTGGGCACCGTGTTATCTCGTATGCCTATCTCTCCTGCACCGTGTTATCTCCCATGCCTATCTCTCCTGCACCGTGTTATCTCCCATGCCAATCTCTACTGCACCGTGTTATCTCGCATGCCTATCTCTACTGCACCGTGTTATATCCCATGCCCATCTCTCCTGCACCGTGTTATATCCCATATGCCTATTTCTGCTGCACCGTATTATCTCGCATGCCTATCAGTACTACAGTATCAAGCTCTTCAAGAAAGACCAATAAAGCATTAAAGATCTCGGACCGTTATAGGTCGCCAGAGACGAGCTTAGGATGGGTGACACTGAAACCCATATACAAGTCAAAAAAGCGCGAAAACAGTTTTGTTCTCGCGGTTATTAAGCAATATTTGATTCTCATATTTCTTTATTCTAACTTGAGTCCAATTAATAATCAGTAGAACAGGAATAATACCAATGAATCATAATTGAAACACTGTGTTCGCACTACTTGAGCTCGATTACATGCAGTATATTTTCAGCGTGATTCAACACCTTTTTTCAGGTGTATGTCAACAATTGGAATTTTTCGAAATAGTGAAATAATTTCACATCGTTATATACTTACGTATTTAAAAAGTACAA